GTCGATATTATATTATCTTCATTTATTGCGGCTAATATCAGCAACAGCCGCCCGATCCCTGCCTGGGGAGCACTTGAAGAGGAAACACGACTCGGGTTCTCGTCTGGCTCTGTAATTGTATTTGGGGGTTTATTAAGTGCCAATAGTGCCACGGGCAGGCGGCTGTGCGTCTTATCTGCCCAACTGGCCATAAGTCGAAAAATCTTATTTTACGATTTAAAATTATACTAAAACAAAAAAGGAACAAAAAACTGATAAACACTCGAGCTCATACTTATTGGGTGTTTATGCCAATAATAAAAATAAAATTGGAAAATAGATAATATACGAGGATTAGCGTTGTCCGGAGCCAACAAAATGGCGTAGATATTAGAAGTGGCCCAGCTCTTTAAGTATTCTGTATATATCGATCGCAACACGGCAACAACTGGAACAACTGGAACAACGACGTATATCAATATATATACAATACGGCAATTCATATCGATACGGTAACCGGCTCGAGTCTCCGAGCACACCCTAATCAATATCTCGAAAAGGTCTTCGAGTGCCTGCGGTCTAGAGATGGGCGCGTGTCACGACTTATTGATAGATAAATTAATTTATTAGACCTCGAAATTGTTAATCAGTTTCTATATATTTATCATCTTGAAAGCTTAATTTTTCTTTCTTTCTTCCTTTTAATTCAATTTAAAAACTCTCACGATGTTTGATTTTTGACACGAACACGTCGTGTTGTTTTGACACGAGTGCAGAAGAAAAATACACGAAAAATAGTTCGCGACTTATTGATAAAATAAATGCATTGCATAGTTAAATGAATTTAGACGGTTTCCGAGTTATTAGACCTCCAGACAAGACTGTCAAACTAAAATTATTAAATTTTTATTAAATTAATGAATAATAAAATTTGGTACATTGTATCGAAATTGTTAATGATATTGCATAATTTGCTCTTTTCATATAAAGCTTCCTTTTGTTTCAATTTAAATTTTTTATGATTGAATTCTTTCTCATTTTTCTAGTTTCTGTAAGATCTAACTCTGCGATATTTGTTTTTTGACACGAACACGTCGTGTCGTGAACACGTCACGCACCCAGCTCTATTTTGGACACTCGAAGTGCACACGAAAAATAGTTAACGACTTATTGAAAAAATGAATGCATTTCATAGATAAAATAATTAATATATATATATATATTTTTTTTTTGTTAGAGTCAACTAAAAATTGGTAAGGTCGCAAAGAACCAACATTTTAAATTAGTGAAGGATAAAATTGTGCATATTTTATCGCAATTGTTAAATATCTTTTTATATTTTCTATTTTGATATAAAGCTTCCTTTTAATTCGATTAAATATTTTTTAAGACTGATTTCTTTCACATATTCCCAGTTTCTGTTTCTCTTACGATGTTTGTCTTTGTTGACACGAACACGTCGTGTTGATTGGACACGACACGACACGACACGCAGCCAGCTCTATTTTATATTATTTATTTTGATATAAGCCTTCGTTTTAATTCAATTTAAACTTTTTAAGATTGAATTCTTTCTCATATTCCCAGTTTCTATTTCTCGCACGATGTTTGTCTTTTTGACACGAACACGTCGTGTTGATTGGACACGACACGACACGACACGACAAGACACGACACGACACGCACCCAGCTCTATTTTGGACACTCGGTAGTGCAGAAGTGCCGTTAGGCCCCGGACAATCGTCAACGGGCAACCAGTTGCTCCGAGTTGGGCAATAAATGATTGTCGAACGCGATAAAAAGATAAAATGTTTGACTTTTGTTGTTGTACAAGTTGCTGCTGCTGCTGTTCGTTGTTGTTTGTTGTTATTTAAGTGTAACACGCAGGAGCAACAACTACAACAACAACAACATCATTTGGCTTGTTAGCACCTAAACGCATTGTTTTTGTTGTATTATGACTTGGTTTATTTATAATTATTTTTACCCTAAAGCATTATTTATAGCCTATATTAATATTCTTTATCTTTGAAAATAATACTTATGGTGCTGTTCCCTTCTTGTTAATATACCCTTTACCCACTAAATATGGCGAAAAATAAGGGTATCCTGTTTATGTCTTAGTATATGTAACACACAAAAGGATGCCCACCCAGAAAAGTTATTTAAATGTACGCAATTTACGGAATTTAAAGATAATTTTGGGGGAATATTATTATCTCTAAAAATATAAAAACTGTTTGTCCTGACTTTTGTAAGACCTAGGAAAAATGCCTTCCTCCTTGATGGAAATGGGGCTCAAAGATTTGGTGGGTCAAATTTCGTGTTTAAATTCATTGCCAAGGATCTATACGAAAAATCATTTGAGACGTGTTTCACACTTTTCGCAGAATCCAAGCTTTCTCGGTGGAAAGTGCGATTCAAAGATTTTTTGGGCTAAGTTTTAAGTTTTTTTCCGTTTTGTTCAAACTTTTTTTCAAAGCTCTACTTAAGAATTTAATGAATACGCGTTTCAGTGATTTGGGAAATTTCACCCGCAACAGTGGAAAATTAGCGGAATACGCTTGCATGAAAGTTTTTTAGTTTACCGTTCATCCGTTTCAAAATCATTTTCAAAGTTATTTGAGGGAATTTATTTTATACGTGCCAAGGGCAAGGTCGGGGTATATCCGCTAGTTATATATATATATATATATACATATATATATATGAACAATCAAAAGTATATATATGTATATATATATATCTCTTTAACATCCAGTTTAAACTTAGCATATTACATTTGCCATGTTCAACACACAATAAACAATATTTTGGGATATTTGTACATTTACAGGGTATCTGCTAGTTGGCCAATTGCAACTTCCTTTTGTTGGTTTTGTTAGTGCTGTTGGTTTTGTTGTTAGGTAGCACATTTTCAGTGCTACTTGAAAGATAAAACATTGTTGTTTATTGCCGCTTGATCTGATAAAGCCACCGTGCAGCAGGCGTGTAGAACAAGCCAACGACGAGGCAGGCAACCCAACCCCAACCAGGCAAACGGGCAGCCGGGCAGGCGATATCATATCCATGAACAATTCCAGAGTCCATGCCCAATATCTAGGTTGAGTTGAGTTGAGCATTTGATGTACATTTGATGAGGTCAGCAACGCACCCAACTTGAAGTGGAGCTTCCTTATCAAGGGGAGCACTTCGCAGCGACGTCTGCGGAGTAAGAGTAGGAGTAGGAGTATGCCATATGGAGGCCCATGGATAGCTGCATCTGGAGACAACGTGGCGACAACTAACCAGGCAACAGCTCAATTGAGGATTATCAGCAACGATTTTTGATTTATCACTGGAACCCAAATAGATATATACTACACACTTTTGCCTTAGACGAAGTTGGGTTCTTGTTAACTCTTAAATGTGACATCGAAATTTATGATATGCTTGATTTATATCGAACACTGCACGGCCTGGCATCTGACAACTGACGGTCGTGCTTAGATAAAGTGACAGTTGGACAGGTCGACCGTGGACGGTGGGCAGGTGGAAGGTGGGCAAATGGAAGGTGGGCAGGTGGACGGTGGACAGCGGGCGTATCGGTGATAAAATTTCACTCTGTCGATAACTCGCAATCCGTGTACGGTAAAAGTTAAAACGTGGACGTGGGAGACTTTAATGTTGTCTATAAAGAAGGAACCGTTAGGAACTATCCGTAACAATTAAATACATATAATCTGCTCAATGATGATCGAGATGAACCCGTAAGAATTACAGACAACTCAAAAGATTTATTCCAGACAACACTTGATTTTTTAAAGATAATTCCATTAATTTAATACAATTCCTAGAATTTTTAGCAATGTTTCTTATGGAAGCTATATAAAAGTGCGGCTAGATTCACAGGAGAAAACTAGTTTGTTTTTAAAAATCGTGATTGTTTAAATTTCAGACAACTCTTGATGTTTTCAAGATCATTCCAATTAATATTCCAGGAGCTAATTTGGTGAAAATCCTAAAATTTGGATCAATATTTCTTATGGAAGCTATATAAAAATGTAGCTCGTTCCATAAGGAGAAAACAATTCTTTGTATACAAACCCGTGAATGTTTCAATTTCAGAAAACACTCGATTTTTTTAAGATTATTCCAATTGGGAGCTAATTTGATAAAAATTCTAGAATTTAAAGCAATTTTTCATAAGGAAACAGTATAACAATTTAGCTCGATCCATACGAGAAAATTATTCTTTTTATTCAAAATCATGAATGTTTGAATTTCTCTTATAAATATTCAGATCGGAATCCAATTCATTTTCTCTCCAGGGAATGCTTTTGTACAAAGAAAAGATAGATAAAAACGTCCACTTAATGGAGATAAATTTTTAGAAAAAACTTTACATAATTATTGGGACTAGCAAATTATCCGTTTAGTAGACAGTTTACTGTACATGCATTGCATGTACAAGCTTGGCGCGCCTTAAATTTCCCTTTTATATATTCAGATCCAATTTCAATATTCATTCTTCCTTCTTCAGGGAATGTTTTTGTACAAAGAATAGAGTCATAAAATCGTCCACCAAAGGGAGATTAATTTGTACAACAAATTTTAAGATAATTATAGGGACTCAAGTAAGCTGTCCGTTAGTTAGACAGTTTACTGTACATTCATGCCGAAGCTTGGCGCGCCTTAAATTTCCCTTTTGTATATTCAGATACAATTCCAAATTATTCCTTCGTCAGGGAAATGTTTTTGTACAAAGAAGAGAGTCATAAAAATGTCCCCCAAATGGAGATGAATTTGTAATTTTGGGACTACAAAAATGAGCCGGCGACTGAAGCTGTTCGCTCAAGGGAGATTTTACTGTACATTCAGGGCAAGGCTTGGCGCGCGGCGCCGCGTGAACATTTTGGGCAAACAAATGCTAAACAAATCGGAGCACACACTCAAAAAACAACTTGTGAAAAGAACGTGCCAATGATTAAATATCAACATACATATATACATATATTTAGAGAGCGCGTGTGTGTACTTACTGATCGGATGCTGGCAGGGATTGGTGGTGAATATCTCCTGGAAGTACGGACTGCATATGGCCAGGACGATTTTGTGGGCCTGCAGCAGCTTGCCGTCGCAGGCCAGCGTGACGTCCACCAGATCCCCGCGGTCGTACAGATTCTGGAAGCCGCTCGCAATATTGTCCTGGAAATTTTTCCAGCATAGCTTGAACTCATCGTCCATGGCGTGCGCCAATTGTCGTCGGCGGCGGCGGCCAGCTAGCAGGTGTTCCGGGCTGTATGTATTTATTTTTTTAGTATTTTTATTTGCCGTCTCTTTTTGGTAGACTTATTTGTAATTGTTTGCGTTTAAATGTGCAGAGAAATCTTGAGTCTGTGTTTTTTAATGATTCTTGTTTATTTGCTTTTGGCCGTGATTTGTTGGCTCGTGCACTTTGTGGCTGACATTCACAACTGATGCCACACAGAATGTCAGGTAGAACATAAACACAAAATATATATATATGTATGCAAAAGCACGCTCACGAGAGCCAAAACGCCGTCGCTGTCGCTTGATGCGAATGTAATTTGGTATTTTATTTAAACAGATGCTGCAAACAAATTTGTTTTGACGCGCACGAAACACGAACCGTCTGCGAGCACGGCCAGATTGACTTTGATTTCGGTTTTAATTAACACTTTTTGATTTGAAAACATTTTTTATCAGAAAAGCGTGAAATGGCAGCGGACGCTGTTTACGTTTCGGTTCGGTCGCCGTTTATGTCTGATAGAGAGAGAGAGAGAGCGAGCAAGAGAGAAGCTAGAAATCATGCGCACAAGCAAAACAGCTGATTAAACGGGCAGTGCTGTAAAAGGCGACAAACAGCGATGGCGGGTCTGACTAAATTCAAATGGTGAAATTGAATGAAATTTGTACTATATTTTAACAGTAAGTCAGTTTTCTTTATATTGATTTGTTTAGTATACACTCCCCATAAGTAAAGCGAAAAAACGGATATTCGATTGATTCAATCGATATTCGATACATTTCTCTGATAATATTTCCAGGCGCGGACTATAAAATTAAAAAGCGCCAGCAGTGCTGATTGATAAGCGCTTATCTAAATTTTGTAAACTCACCGACACAGTTCCGGCTGAGGTCGACTTAGCGTGTGCGCTGAAATCGTAGAGCCAAATAACCAATGCGGCCGAGACAGTAGTAGATAACGTGGCCGTGTATAACCCACTTTGTGTTTTAAACAAAAACAAAGAACTTCTTATCTGTGAATGCTTTGCACGTTAATTATATACACACCCAACCGTATATATGTGGATACCAATGCCAATTGGTCACCGGTTTGATTTCTCTGATTTAGTGCTTTAAAAACGTTCAACTGCTTTGGTACTAACGACATTTGATTATCTTTCTATTATAATGGGTGGTTGTTGTAGTAAGCAAACAAAGCAACTTTAACAACGATTATTCAAATAATTGAACTCCTTAATAATTTTCTTCAGGTTCTAGTAAATCGGTCGATTTGCCAGCTGTGCCGCCAGCGCCAGCTAAGCAGCGAGCCACAACCTTAGCGGAATTCCCAAGTACCCTTTCCAACAATAATTCCGGCATTTCTACATTGGGAGGAGCCACGAACAGAGCACTCGAAGAGGACTAGCAATAACAATGCAACTAATAAAGACCATACTACAAGTAATTTCAAGCAATAAGTGTTAAATATGCACCTAATTTGAATTAACATCAAATTTTCCTTTTTAAAACAAAAAGTTTAAGTAATGTAGTTGATATTTTGTGAAATATGCAGCAATAAATTATAATTATAAATATAGTGTATTCAAAATATTTTGGCAGAGCGCCAAAAACACTTTTACAACACTTTGAGCACAACTGTTGCTCAAGTGCGCACATGACAAAAATACTAAAAAAATACTGCTATCAAATGCCCGTACGCAGAAAGCATTCATATGTTAATACACACAATAAGTGTTAAATATGCACCTAATTTGAATTACCATCAAATTTTCCATTTATAAATAAAACGTTTAATTATTGAAATTGATATTTTGTGAAATATGCAGCAATAAATAAAAATTACAATAATTATATTTATAGTCTATTCAAAATATTTTGCCAGAGCGCCAAAAAGACTTTTATAACACTTTGAGCTCAACTGTTGCACATCACGAAAATCGCTACTGAAAAATACTTCTGTTAAATACTTGTGCGTACTACACGTGCATGCGGCTCGTGTGTTTTATTTTTTTATAAGAGTTTTATCAAATTTGGCTGATTATATATGAAAACACGGCCAGAGACATATAAAGATGGCAATACAAACGAATAAACGGAAAAGAAAACATGAAGCTGCAGCTGCAGACCAACCAGATGATGCTGAAATAGCGGTACCCAAAAAGGTGCAAAAGGAGTCCCAGACGCCAAAGAAAAAATCCAAAAAGGCAAAAGAACAGGAGAACATTGAAGAACAGACGAATGAGGCAACAAATGAGGAGCAGTTGGAAACTTCCGATAGCCCAGCAAAAAGTAAAAGGGACAGAAACGAACAGGCAGCTGTGGAAGAAAAAGATGAAGCGGAAATCAGCCCCGACTCGGGCATCGAGCCGGAGGAGAAGCCTCTGCGGTTTCCCAATGATTTCAAAATGATGCATTTTCGAAGCAAGCTGCTCGGCGACAACTTTATAACAGGTACGATTAAGATTCATTCATTTAGATTTCCTTTTATGTGATTTTTTTTCTGCGAACAGAACTGCGCCACTTTCTGTACATGTGCGAAGTGAGGCCCAGGATCGTGGCCAAGTATATTGAGAAGCGCGGCAAGCCGTTGGAGTTGGCCGAAGCCTTCAATCGCATCGACAAGACCAACATACTGCATGTGGGCTATCTCAGCGAGGCGCTGCAGCGCATCATCATGGAGATACTCACCAATCAGAAGGATCACATGGAGTCGGCGGCCCATGCCGGCCGCTATTTCCTCAAGGTGCATGGCGCGGTGCTGGAGCAACTGTTGCAGTCGGCACAGCCGAAACATCGACGCAACGCACTGAAATTGCTGACGGCAATTGTGTGCGTGGACTCGCAGCTGGGCCGCCAGGTGCTCAGCTCCTACGATATACTCTCGAATGTGCGGACCATGAACGAAATGCTATCGCATTCGAAGCACGATTACCAGCACGAGGATACGGTGCGCAAGGCATATATTCATTTTGTGCTGGCCTTTCTGGTCGATGGCAATGCTCTGCTCATACGCAACATTATGGATCGCGGGCATCTGATCCGGGTGCTGGCCAAGGGTCTGGTCTACGATGACCATGTGACCGCCTGCGTGGTGCTCAACACGCTGCGCCAATATGTGCTCGAAAATCCGAGTATCTTGAAGACCAAGAAGGTGCATGTCTTCGATCTGGAATGCTGCAAGTATCTGCGCCGCCTCTACGACTGGGAAGGACCCCAGGGCCTGGCCGTCTTCTACAAGGGACACAAGTCGAGCAAGTTTGTGCCGGAGGAGCGCGAGGTTGTCGCCGCCGCCGCACATAAGTTGCTGCTGCTGCTCTTCACCTCGCGCAAGCACGGCATCAGCTTCGATGCGATGACCAACTACCGCCAGAAGCACAACAAGCTGCAGGGCAAAATCCTGGGCAGCCTTTACCGACCATATGCCGATCCGAATAAAAGGGAGCTCATACTGAAGACGCTGCAAGCGTGTCCCGACTTGGGCAGGCACACGGTGCGCAATTTCGCCTCGTTTGTGAATCCAATGCGAGTGCCAACCGACGATTTGCCCGCGGCCATCGATTTGCTGGCCGAGATCATTGCGGCGGTGCCGCCAAGCGCTTTGTCCTCGGCCATGGACAAAATGACGCTGACCGACTTTAGCTATTGGATCAAGGAGCTCTGTCTGCCCATCGAGGCGCTGCTGCACATTGTCGGCAAGCATATGCTCAAGCGCAACGATTTCAAGATACGCCTCGCCGTCAACCGGCTTCTGTTGGCCATGATGACGCAGTACAGCAACTATGTGGGCGTTGTCGCCTTGCGGGAGCAGTCGAAGCGTGCGGGCAACTCGTTGCGTAAATTTAAATTCGAGCTGCTTAATCATTTACTGATCAACTTTCCGCCCATCGAGAGCATACTGTACTCGCTGTACATGAGCATACAGGAGCGGCAGCAGGCAGGTGTCCATGTGCTGGAGCATCTGTCGGTCACCCTGGAGCTGATTCTAATCATGTGCAAGGAGAATCGCGCGTTTGTGAACAAAACCAGCCAGATTCTGGACTATTTGGATGTCTTGCGGCCGCTGTACGAGACAAACTTTGATGCGGCGCACGTGGCGGAGGCGAATCCTCAAGAGCTGGACAAGGTGCAGAAGATAAAGCTGGAGCTTAAATCGATTAAGACGATTTTGCTGCTGTTTCCGCGCTCGCTGCATCCGCAGGAGCAGCTCTTCGAGAAGGTGTTGCGCTCCTTCGTCAAGGCCTACATGCTCGAGGATGATGATCTCGCGGTCAAGTCGGAGGCCGGCGAGCTGCTGCACAGCCTGTTCCGGAACACGGGCATGTTCGACTCCTGCAGCTACGAGATTGACATCTGGCTGGAGGCCCTAATCGGCTTCGATGCGCAAACCGTGGACAATGTCACAAGCATTCTGCTCAACATACTCTCGCTGGACTTGTCCCAGGTGGAGATGGAGGAGCAGCTGCTGCCGGCTGCCGGAACGACTTCCAGCAATGTGGCGAATCTGCGCAAACTCCTCGCCCAAATTGAACAGGGCCAAACGGTGCAAGCTTACGTGGAAACGCTGACGCTGAGCAAAATGATGCCGCTGCTGCTGCAGGGCGTGGCCATAGAGCCGCCCCACGACGCCTACGTGGAGCTGGTCTGCGTGCTGCTCTATCACTATCACACCAAGCCGGAGCAGGTGCAGCAGCTGTACAGTGTCACCGACTACATGGAAATCGGGCGGGGATTACGTGAACTTCCCGCGCAGATTGCCAAACATTGGCCACAGCTGGCGCAGCTGCAGCGCCTGGTGCTGGAGACGACTACTCCTGCTCCTCCTTCGCAATCCTTTGAGCACATATTTAAGCCGTCGCCGGGCAAACACTTTGAGCTGCAGCTGGCGGACGGCAACAAGCTGCAGCTGCATCTTAGCCTGCGCAATCCGCATCGCAACATGATCTACGTCCATGAGCTGCTCTTTCTGCTCGACCAGCTGGTGCAGAGCAAGCAACTCGCTGCGGGCCAATCCCAACTGATAGCCGACTGCCTGATTAGGCTGCTGCAAATTGCCGCCCAACTGGATGGCGGCCAGCAGAGCGCCGTGCTGGCCAATGAGGAGGAGCAGGAGCGGGCGCAGCAGGAGACGCACACACAGCGCCTGCTGCACTACATCTACAGCATACGGCTGAGCCAGCTGCGCGCGACGCACCTCTTCAGCGAGACGAGCGAAACGGAGATGCACTACGTCAGCTGCCTGCGTCGCCTGACCGAGCACTGTCGCACCTTGCCCGGATTTGCCAACTATACGAGCTACTATAGACAACAGCTGGTGCTGGCGCTGGAGATTGCTCTGCAGGATCGGGCAGGATTGAAGCTCGTTGAGCAGCCGGCGCAGCTGCTCGAGTGCGTCGCCCTGGTGGATGCCTTCGAGTTGAATGCGGGCGAATGCGCCCAAATGCTGCAGCTGCTCACGGAAAAGCTCGAGGCGAGCGATTACCTGGCGGCGCAACATTACTTTGAGCTGCTGCTGCGCCTGTTGCGTCGCCTCGCCCAGCTGCAGCAGGAGGAGCACGTCGTGGATTGCACTCAAGCCATGCTCCGACTGCAAAGCTACTATGGCGAATTTTGTGCCAGCTCCTTGCCCGCCGAGCAGCTGGAACAGCTGGAGACGGCTCTCCTGGAGTTCCTCAGCAGCCGGCATCATCATCTCGCCGCTTGCCACGCTCAGTTCTTCACATGCTTCTTCACCTCAACGAATCGCAAGCTGAGCAAATCAGCCATAAAACTCGCCTGCCTTCTGCTGCAGCGCAACGCGCAGCTGTCGACGACATTTGTCCAGCTTCTCCCCGAGCACGTGGACCAGAAGGAGCTGATTTATCCACTGTTGGATGTCGCTTTCAGTCGTGGCTACCGGCTGGAGCCGGCGCTGCTGCAGCGCTGCTATCAGAGCTACAAGACGGGCATCCTCAAGAGCATCGAGAAGCCGCAAAAGGCGGCGCACATCTATCGGGAGCACCCGGAGGCCAGTGCGGCAATAATTGCCCACTGCATGCCCAAGTCGGAGTGCTTGGATTATTGCCAGAAGCAGCTTAAATTCGATGCCGTCGGCCTGTTCCAAATGCGCGTGCTGCGCGCGATTTACGGCCAAGCGCTCGCCGCCAGCAAGGATGCACTGCAGCAGGCCCAAATCTTTGTCAACTACATCAATCTGAATGTTCAAATGTTGGCGCTTGATCTGAGAAAGCAAAGCGTGCAGCTGGAGCAGCTCGAGCAGCTGGCCTTCAACTGTTACGATTGGTGGCAGCAGGAGCAGCAGTTGGACTCCTCCAAGCCGGATTGGAGTCGTCTGCTGGGCGCCGCGCATTGGCTCAACTTTTGTCGCAGCTGCCTGAAGCAGGCGCTGCACATGGCCGAGGAGACGCCGCCGCAGCAGCAGCAGCAGATCAACGGGCTGCTGCTGAAGCTGCTCGCCTTCCTCTGCGATCGCCTCTACAAGGATTACAGCGAGGAGGCGGAGGAGCAGGCGGATGCTGCTCTACTCTACGAGTTGGCCTTCACGCACTCCTGCTGCTCTGATCATTTGCTGGGAAGCGAACCGAGCGCCGTCAAGACACATCTGCTGCAGCTGCTCGAGACGCTGGCGCGGAAGGCGCCATCGGCGCTGCAAAGCTCCCACATACCCATCCTCCTGGGCTCGTATCATGCCAGCCTGACGCCCGCGGATCGTTATATTCTCGCCCTCCTGGAGCACTACGAGCGCTACGATGTGGGCCTAGCCGAGTATCGTCCCTTCGTCTGGGGCGAAGGCGCCGTCGCGCATTATGCGCTGCGCGAATCCGATGCGGATGAGCGCGCCAAGCTGCAGCAGCAGGAGACAAATGTCGGACAGGTGCTCGCTTTGATTGTGCGCCAAAACTGCCAATATACGATCGAGAACTTTCCCATTTGGCGGACGTTGCACGCCAGCCAACAGCTGCCGGCGCTAGAGTTTGTTAATCCCGCAAAGAAATCCCTGAGATTTGGCGATAATCCGCTGGAGCAGCGCATCGAACGGGGCGACACACAATTCGCGCAGGATCAGCGCCGGCTGTGCCCGAAGCGCGACGAGCTCTACGAACGCTGCTACGATCCGGCCTTTATGCTGCCCCTAATGATGCACTGCTTCGCGCCGGAGTCCGCAGTGCGTGCCCAGTGGCCCGTCCAGAATGGCCTGCTCTCGCTGAGCTTCTGTGCGCTCTCCTCCCTGGACAAGGATATGCGTCTGGCGGCGGCGTGCTGTCAGCAACGTTATCGCAGCCATTTCGAGCTGTCCAAGTTCTACGAGAAGCCGCTCTGGACGCAGGCCTACGACAACATTCAGTCGGGTCTGGCCGAGCTGCGCAGCGCCTGGCTCGCCCAGCGACGCACACACGGCGGCATTCCACGCGTTCCGCTCATCCCCGTGCTCTTCATCGCGCACAGCTTCAATCTGAGCACGGATCCCACACATTTGCTGTACAAGCGCATGATGATGTATCTGCAGCTGAAGCAGAGCTTTAATTTCCAGACCATACCCGAATTCAATATATTCTTCTACTCCCAGGAGCCGGAGCATCAGCAATATCGCGAGTTTATCGTACAGCTGCTGAGCAATGGGATCAAGTGCAGCGCCGATCTCTTCCTGCTCGTCTCGACCAACACGTTCAAGGTGCTGCTCAGCTACTATAACTCCAATCTGGCCACGCTGGACACCAATCTGCTGCTGCTCTCCGTGTTGTCCACGTGCGTGAAAATACCCGGCGCCGTCAAGATCATGCTCGAGCACGTGGGCATCCTTTCCTGGCTAAGCGGCATCATTCGCGACACCCAGTTCCATCAGTTCGACATTATCGAGGGCATCATTAGCATTGTCAACAATCTGTGGTATTCCGTTGCGGCCAGCCAGTCGGAGCTGTCCGACTTTGCGCATGTCCAGCTGCGGCTGCATCGTCTGGTGCTGCTCCATCTGCTGCCGCTGCTCTCGCCGCGCGTCTCCACGTCGAGTCTGGCGCGTCTGCTCAATGTGCTGCAGAAGACCGCCGGCAACGCCGGGCAATATCTGGCTTTGTCCGTTCAGCAATTGGATCTGCTGCTCGACTGCGTCGCCCGCCATTGGCCGGAACAGATCGCAACAGTTCGCTACATGCGCAGCTTTGGCGGCAACTACGCCTGCCCGCGCGACGAATACTGCGAGGGATTGGTCCGGGAGCACCAGCTGGACATGCACTCTGTGCTCGCCCTCTCCAGCCTGCGGCAATATGTGATCGACTGGTGGCAGGCGCATCATCAGGCAGCAGCACATCCCGAGGCAGTCCACAAAATGGGCGAGGAGGTGTCCACCACTTAGATCTGGCAATTCTATAAAATATAGCCCTAAAACGTGTAATATATAATATATTTTTGCATTGAGCTCATGAAGATTTCGGATTCCGGCATTAAACGAAGCAAGTTATTTCTTTAATCTCGTTTGCGATTCCAATTTCAAGTCAATTAAGTCGGATGGAAACTAAAAACAATTAAGAGTCTTCCCAGGATGGAAGCTAAAAGCTTCATTTTAATCTTATTCAAAAAAAATGTAATCTTCTTTAATTGAAGAATTGAAAGAGAAGGAACTTTTTTGGGGAAAGGTTGACTGGAGGACAAACAGCTTAAGATAAAATATTAATACAATTTATATAAGGAAGTCTTCCCTGAACTTTCCTTGAAGCTACATATAAATCCTATCTAAAAAAAGTGCAATTAAATTGAATGAAAGAATTGAAAAGGGAACGTTTTTAGGGAAAAGATGGAGTCGGAGAAGATTCGATTGACTGAGGACAGCTTAAGATATATTAAGATAAGATAAGATAAATAAGGAATCTGACAATTTCTAGATGTTAATTATTGTGTCGAAATGATGTTGCGCATTTGTCGGATGGCCGTGACGAGGCGTGGCTCGCAGCCGCTGCTCAGGTTGAGGTACTGGTCAGGTGCTGCTTTGAGCAGTGTGAGGATTTGGGCGAGCTGCTGGTTAATGGTGAGGCCGAGTTCCTCGAGCACATTCGACAGGTACTCAATGTCGACGCTGAGCTGCGTCGCGGAGGAGGCGGGCAGCGACTTGATCTGCAATAGCTGCGCCTGGTACATGACACAGCATTGCTCGACGACCAGCGAGAGCAGGACGTCGGCGCAGGGTATCGCCTGCGTATACTTGATGTTGCACAGCTCCAGAGCCTGCTTGAGCAGTGCGGACGGCGACAGGAGCAGCGGCTCCAGATGCTGCGGCAGCGTGAGCAAATATTGGCCAATCTGCGTGATGCTCTCCTGCGGCGCAAAGCTGAACGCGGGCATATTGATGCCCGACGTGGCGTACGCCTCCGCGGGCGGGCGTATGTGCGCCAAATGCGCCTCGATCGGCTGCAGCAGGATGTTCAGCGTTATGTCGTGCGTCTCGGCCAGATAGGTCTTGAGTGTGACATAGACCTGGGGGAAGATGCCCAAGCTGTCCGCGCTGGTGGCCCCGGTCGCATCGCTGCTCTTCTGCTGATAATCGGCAATATTTGCGAGCAGCTGGGCGCGCATTGCCGGCTCACAGGTCTGATAGATGCTAATGGCGCCGCCAGCGGATCGCTGCAGCCGGCTCGAGAGCGCGACCAGGCGCAGATGCAGCTGCTGCTCGAACTGATGCAGCTGCAGCTGGAAATCGGCGAGGCATTGCAGCTGGGACATGGTGTACTGCAGCAGGGACCAGTTTTCGCTGCGCGCCGTGCCCTCGCTGCTGCTGCTGCCGCTGCCAAGGCTCAGGCTCAGCTGGCGCTGGGTGCGACTAAAGTTCTCCAGCTGGCGCTTGAAGATGCCGCCGAGCACCGTGATCAGCTTGCACAGCGCCAGATCGTTGGTTATCGCTTGGCAGCGGGCGCAGGCCTGCTGCAGCCACTCGTACAGCTTGCGTGTACTCTCCTCCAGATGACGCACTGCATCGCTGGGCGTCGCTTGATTGGAGAGCAAGCGATCGACTTGCGTGGACAGCTGCGTTTCCTCCAGCCTCGGATACTGCTGTATAAACTTGTGAAAATACTCAAAGATCGCTTCGCCCAGCTGACGATGCAAATCGGCCGATAAGCTGATCTGCGATTGCTCCAGCGTTGAGTTCAGGTGCAGCACAAAATTCTGATTGGCCTGAGCGTATTGGGCCAAAAGCTCGAGCCGCTCATTAGAGCTCTTCAACAGCTGCAGGATGTGCGCGTCGCGTGTCGGCTGCAGCGCCGGCAAAAGCTCGGCGATGACCAAAAATGGCTGCGACTGCGCCATGTCCAGCGGCTCCGCGGCAAAGAGCTGAACACACCATTTGAGCTGACGCTGGCAATGCTCCAGCAGCTGGTCGTAGTAGAGCGAGAGGAAGTGCTGCTGCGGCGACTCGCTGACCTGCAGCTCCAGCGTCTGCTTCCACTGCTGCTGCAGCATATTCTTCTGCACTGCCCGATAATATTGCTGCAGCTGCGGCAATCGTTGAATGCTGCTGAAGATTTCCACATGCCGCTGTGCCTGTGCCAGACTCGACTCAGCGAAGCACTGGACTAGGCTGGGCGAGGCCATGGCCTCCAAACGATTCTTGAAGTCCTCCACCTGCGTTTGCCGTTCAGCATGACCCGGTAGCTGTTCCTGCGCTTGCAACGACTTTTGGAGCGCTGTCAGCTTTAAGCACACGCCCTGCAAAGATTAGTTATGTATATTTGGTGCTACAAAATTCTCTAGCGGAGCAGCTCACCTTCATATCGTTGCGTTCGAAGCAGTCTTCCAGCTCGGCCAGCAGGTTGCCCCAGCCGTCCGACTCCTGCAACGATTCTTTGGCCGCCTGCAGTTTGGTTTGCAATGTGTTCAAGCGCTCCAATGTGGCCATACAGTCGCCCGTCTCCTCCTGCACGGCGGCCACTTCCTGGCGCATTGCGCTCATCTTCTGCTGCAGCGCTGCCACATCGCATTGCAGCGTGGCCGCTTCCTTGGCGATGCGCGGCATGCTGGCCACAACCTGCTGGCTGGACTCCTCGACGGCATAGTTCACCTGCTGCACATACAGCTGCAGCTTGGCCACGTAGCTTTGTATGAACGTGGTGGCAGTTGCGCCCTCCTTTTTATTATTCTCTTCCGTATATTTTTTATAGTTTGCATTTATCCAATCGGCGGCAGAGAAACTTGGCTCTGATAGCGCCGAAATATCCATTTTCAAAAACGGATTAAACACAAATCTAGGAATGTTTTTAAAATAAGTTCAGCCTCTCGAATGGCACAGCTGTTGGACGTGTAGTGTTGGCAAATGTTTAATATCTACTGCTGTTTGGTTAGTGGCACAGCTGTTGGACGTGTAGTGTTGGCAAATGTTGGGTAGTTGGTATTTTTTTTTTAATATCTACTGCTGTTTGGTTAGTGGCACAGCTGTAAGACTTGTAGTGCTGGAAAATGTTGGGTAGTTGTTTATTCTTTTTTAAATCTAATGAGTTTAATAATTTATTGCTGAATATAATCGCATTTTAGCCATAACAATCAACCGGTAAGGGTAGTTTAGCTATCGTATAGTTAGGCGCGTGTTTGTTTTTCGTGCATGATACGAGCACGCACGATTCGACAATATTAGTTCGTGCCATGGAAAATCGGAGCACGCGCTCATCTCTAGCACACGCACTGACAGATGATGTATTATTATGAGTCCTGATACTTTGCTTGAACAACGACGACGATTTGCTTAAAAGCTTACGCTGATGTATTTAGAGTAAGTGAAACATGTCAGTTTGCAAAGCCGATCCCTGGCAAGTGAAAAATAATAGCAGTAAACCAGAAAACGGAAATACCGAAGTGATTGAAAAATTCGAAGATAATTTCAACCCTAATAAATTAGAGAACAGACGCAAATCCGATTTCGACGACAGGAAAACCGAGAGTAATGTTACAGGCTCACAACGCATCGAGCCGCTGCCAGATTCGGCAAACTACTTGCAATTGCTAGGTGCGTATAAAAGGATCATGCGTGTATTTGATTTGAATTTCATTTCGATTTCAATTTGTTGGCCCGTCCACGTAGAGCGAAAACTGGAGAAAGTGCAAAAGGGCAACAAATTGTTGGACTCGCTGCAGGAGAAGAAACAGGATTGCATGCGCTCCCTGCTAGCCGCTAACGGTGTGCCAGAGACAACGCTCGAGCAGCTGCTCGATTTTGATACGCCCATCGAGAGCGGTCGGCTGCATCGTCACCTGCTGCCCGTCCAGGCGGTAACCGTGGGCGAAACATTGCAGATCGTGCAATACGACGCTCTCGCGGAACAGACCGTAGAGATCGAGCAACAAGGGCAGCAAGACGACGAGGCGGAAAAGGAAATTAACTAAACATCATAATGGACTCGACGTTTGGCAATGTGTTCCTGTTCCTTACCGATTTGGCTTGGAAGAGTCGTTTGACAATCCCATTGCTGGTCACAACCGCCTTCCTGGTCATGGACATACGCTTGCAGATCGAGATTAACATACAAACGGGACAAGTGGTACCTGAAAACACCATTACACCATTAAATCCACAACTAAATAAAACCCTTTATACACAGAATGCCAGCGACCTGGATGAGCCCGACGATGCTTTCGAGGAACAGCTGGCGCAGGGTGCAGCGTTTGCCATGGAAGAGGAGAGCGACGTCTATACGGATGATCTCGAGGAGTATAATAGCGAGTATACCAACGGGGATGGTAATAGCAGCGACACGTCACGCTACAGCGCGGATATCGACGATGACTTGGGCTCCGAGTACGACGTTGAGAATGATCTCGATGCTTACTATGCGAGCGAAATTCACTTCTAGCCGTAGACTTCGAATATAAATTTTAAGAGTAATATATATGTGTACATGTTAGAAGCTAATTTCTGTAGATTAGATGTATATGCATATATAGCCCCCCAATATTACGTATTTATGTATTTCGGTGTAATCACAATTTTTGAAACCAGTTCTTGTAGTTTTATTAGCCTTACATATACAATTTGATCAATTCGTCACTGACCGCCGATGGCGTCAGTATGCCCAAATCGGTGAAGAGCAGCGTGATATATGCGGGCGGTGTATAGTCGACCAGTGGATGCACCTTGGACACATCATTTAAATGCTTGCGCGAGTACTGAAAACGAAAAATCAAAATTAATTCAGAATTAGCGCAAATCTCGGGTGCAGCGTTGCCAACTGCCGCTAAAAAAAGCTAATAAGACTTGAATTAGCTTTTTTATTGGAGTAAACAGAGTTGTTAGCACTTATTGCCAATAAGAAGCTGTCCGCTTGGCAACCCTGTTTGCCTACCTTGTACTCGTTGGACAAATCTCTTTGATTCAATGGATATAGGCGAGAAAATTTGAAACTTTCAGATAGCACATAGAAGGGTTTCTTCATTTCGCGCGCACACAAGCCCATTGTGTAGGAGCCAATGCGATTGATAATGCCGCCGCTCTCGACGACCGCCTCGGCGCCTACCATAACAAAGTCAACCGATTCCATGACATAGCCGGTGGCAGCGTCTAGTATAAGCGTACAATCAATGTCCGCCGCCTGCAACTCCTGCACCATCTCCTCCCTAACCAAAAATACAGTATTAAGCAAAAGATAACAATAATTGACATTGTATAATAAATACTTGCCCAGGGTTACCGATGCCGCCCTGCGTCACAAATACGTGGAAGGTCTTCTTGTTTTGCGATGCGGCTATCAGCGCCTGGAGGACGACGCGAGAGCGGGAGTGAGTTAGGATTCGACAGCCATCGCTTATAAAACGTTGTGCCTGCTGTGAAATAACCTGACGCGAATTAAGTAATTTGGTTAGAAAGATTTTGCCCCGATTTAACATGATCTGGCGGCACTCCTCCATGTGCTTGTCATCCAAACTGAGTGTTATAAAACGACAGAAGAGCTCGCCGGCCGACACGATGGCTGCTATGGACAGGTCCGTATTACGCATCGCTGCCACAGCCTCGCGCATTGTCGTGTGCAAAATATGTATGGTGCCAACTGAGAGTTCATTATTATTATTATGATTATTATTGGTTTATAAAAACAGATATACGCTTACATTGTTTCTTCTCTAATATCATCAGCAACGTTTTAATGGCCGCTATGCCAGAGGACATATCCTTGTCATCGTCGAGCAACTGTAGAAAGTACTTGACAACATCTAAGAAAAACGTGTGTTAACATTAAACAATTTAATGCAATTTTACGGCCACTTACCAAATTCTTCGCTCGTTTTTGTAACTTGTGGCATCTTAAAAGTAAATTTAAGGCTGTTATTTCTCGCCGTCAACAATTGCGATATAAACAGCTGTTTTGTTGCGCTGGGTCGTTACACGTTACAACACGCTATGTAGATTGGGCATGGATTAAATTAATTAATTAATTAATTAAAAGCTGAAAGAATGCAATTTTTTATTTTTTAGCAGATATCAAAACAGTTAACATTTATAATGATAATGCGGCAAATGGCATATTGAAATATCTATGCGCTGATGACGTGCATGCCAGTGTTGTTTCGCGTGCACATTATTAATAATTAACCAACACTGAGTGCCGGGGCAAAATAGTAAACAATTGAATATTGTGGCAAATGTTATTTTGTTTTTATTTTATGTTTCGGCATAATAACGTAACAAAATTAACGAAATGTGCATTAAATTAGAGAAGGAAACGTTGAATTAACTAGGGAACCCGCTTGAGCTTTGGTTAATGCGCCTTGTCAACGTGTAGTCCGTGGACAGCGACAATGTTTAAGCTAGAGTCCTACATAACACCAATTTTGCTAAACTACGTGGCGAAATATGTTAACATACGCGACGAAGATGCACAGGTGTCGCTGTGGGAGGGCGAGGTATCATTTCAGAATTTGGACCTGCGCTTGGACGTGCTCGAGGAGGAGATGAATCTGCCAATTGAGCTCGTCTCCGGGCACATACACGAGCTGTCCATCCAAGTGCCGTGGACAAAGCTAACATCGGAGCCGGTGCGCATTGAGATCAATACGATTGAGTTTGTGGCCAAGTTGCCCAACGAGGAGAGCAAACAGCGACGTACCGTTCTGCTGCAGGAACAGCGTCGCAAACGCGATGCAGCCGAGGCCGAGGAGCAGCAGCAGCAGCAGGCCGCCGCCAGCATTCCCGGCGTTGTCAACAAAATCATCAACAATATCAACTTGCAGTGCCACAATATCATTTTGAAATACGTCGACGATGACATTGTGGTCTCCATGAATGTGCAGTATTTGAACTTCAGTGCCGCCGACGAGAGGTGGCAGCCAGCCATGGTGGATGTGAATCCCGTCAACGTGCTTATGCGCAAGCTGCTGCAGGTATCCGATCTGACCATATGCCTGGACAAGCGCAACACGGCCGGTCGTATTGAGGTGTGCCAGGAGCCCGTTCTATACCGTTGCACATTGGAGCTGCGTGTGCTGCGGAAACACAACGTGAATACGATGAGCACGTCGAGCACGACACGAATCGGGGTCTTCACCAAATCGCTGGACATCAATGTGTCGTCGATGCAGCTGCCCATGGTTATGAGGCTGGTTAAAATGCTGCTGGAGCTGAAGCCCGCTGAAATTGAGGAGGAAATCTTTAGCTTGGAGGAGACGCCAGTGGCGCCGCCACCACCCAATGTCGGCGGCTCGAATCTGGTTTCCAGCGATGTGGTGACAACTTCATTATTTTCACGGGCATGGAGTCTGTTCCCCAGCTTCGAGACGCCACCGACCTCGGCAACCGTCGAGGATCCCGTCGGCCATGCCTTCGATGTGGGCGTCTATGCGGAAGAATTGAACTTTCAGCTCAAGAACTCGGAGCTGATCAACGACCAGGCCATGGGCGGCATCAAGCGCATACGCTATACGCCAATTCTGCGCATCAGCCTGGGCGGCATCTACTACGAACGGTCGCAGCTCAAGGAGAGCGACTGGACGAATGTGAGGGCGGGCCTGTCCAGCATTTGTATGGAGCCCCTGGGCGTCTATCGCAGCGAGGATCCCATGGATCGCAGCCTGGTCAACACCAAGCAGGTAGTATAGTCTCTCCTTTCAATTGCATTCTCCCCTCTCTAAAACTTTTCTCACTTTTCGTTTTAGTTCCACAACGAGCGCGCATTTATCGACAAGAGTTTGTTCGATGATCAATACACGTTCGCGGACCGCAGCTGGTCGAGTCACAATCACGACGATTATTTCGCCCGCAACACCGACGAATATATGCTCTTTCGCAGTCCGGTGCTCGCCTTCGACATTGTCGAGTGTCGTGCGGCGCGGCCCGCTCGGGCTACGCCGGAGTCGCAGCTGAGAGATTTGGGGCTGCGCGTCAAATATCGTGTGCTGTCCGCGGGGATAACATTCCATTTTACGCAGTCGTTTCTACAGGTTAAAAATGTAATTAGTGATTTATTTCGTCCTTACGATTACACAGGATATCATGCAGAGACCGTAAACGACAGTCCCGTGAGCAAAGAAGAGGAGTACAAGAATCGGTACATGACCTATGCCGATTTCGAGTACCTGATGGGCTTCATGCCCATGTGCAACTATAAGATCGAGCTGCGCGACATGACCGTCAAGTTCTATCCGCGTCAGCAGAGCGACGACAGCTCCACGGCCGCCAATCAGCATCGCTTGACCACCACGGTCAATCAATCGCTGCTGCCGTATCTGCAGCTTAGGCTGGCCTTCGCCGAGGGCGTCATTTGCGGCCCGGCCAATCCGCAGCGTCTGGTGCAGCTGATCACCCATCTGCAGGACAAGCCGCGCGAAATAATCGAATCCTGCTACAATGCGTACACGTTCAATGTCAAGAATTTGTCGCTGATGGCAATCAATACGACGTCGACAATGGGCACGGCCAAGCTGCTGAATATACCCAGCATGCAGGTGCAGTTCAAGATCCTACTCTTGCCCGAATATTGGCGTCGAAATGTGGCCGCTTTGGAGACGGCTGAAATCCAATCGGAGCTGATTAACGTAGAGTTCTCCAAGCGCGAACTTGTGCTTACGACACGCGTCATACCACTGATATTGGGCTACAATGCGCCTCAGCTGGGCGCGTTGGCCAAGCTGGTGGCGCAGGCCAACAAATCCTCGGATGTGATCAAGCTGCAGACGCTCATCACCAAGGTGCGCCTCAACTATCGCAAATACCACACGCATCTGGCCATGTTGTTCTCGTTGCGCAACCTCAGCACCGACGTCTACCACACGATGATGAACATCCGAAACGTTGTGTTGTCCACGAATAAGGGCTTCGCCAACAAATGGCTGGAGCTGCAGCTGCAGCTTCCACTTCAGGACTCGACGCTGCCGGACTCGACGCTGACGCCCGCCAATGCCGTTTGCCTCTGGATCGAAAGTTTCCGCATCACTCTCGACATCTATTTGCTGCAGTTTCTCAACTCTTTTGCGAATCCCGAGCCGTGCATTGATAATGGTAAGTCCCTCGATCTCCTAGGCATGTACACAAAACGGAATGTTGAAACCGATTTAACGATTTTATGGAAACGGGGAGAACTATTAACATTTTAAGTAACTAGCCACGGACGGACGGACAGGCGGACATGTTTAGTTGCATTTTCCATGTGCTCAGGGCGTAAACATAATACTCTTTCCATACAACGGGACATTAGGGAACTCTCATCCACGCCGAAGATTGAATACCCTTGCAGACCCAACCTTTTCATAATGCTCATCGTGCTTTGCCCGTATCCAAGAAGCACAAAGAAAATAGTTAATGCCAAGTCTGGTTAAGATATCTTGATAAAACTTAATTTTCGATCGATCGTTCCTATGGCAGCCATATGATATAGTAGTCCGATGTAAATAAGATTTTGCTTAAATCTAGGGAACATAGTGAAACTTTTAAATGGAGAGTTTGGTCAAGATATCTTGATAAACAAAAAAGTTTTTCAGACAAGAACCTACTTTTCGTTCGATCGTTTCTATGGCAGCCATATGATATAGTGGTCCGATGTAAATAAGATTTTGCTTCAATCTAGGGAATATAGTGAAACTTTTAAATGGAGAGTTTGGTTAAGATATCTTAAAAAAACAAAAAAGTTTTCCATACAACAACTTTATTTACGACTGATCGTTCCTATGGCAGCTATATGATATAGTAGTCCGATGTCTATAGGATTTTGCTTATATGTGAGGTGCATAGTAAAACCAATAAATGCCGAGTTTGGTTAAGATATCTTGTTAAACAAAAAAGTTTTTCAGACAAGAACCTTCTTTTCAACCGATCGTTTGTATGGCAGCTATATGATAGAGTAGTCTGATGTAAACAAGATTTTGCATAAGTGTAAGGAACATAGTGAAACTTACAAATGTCGAATATAGTTAAGATATCTTAAAAAACAAAAAAGTTTTCCATACAACAACTTTATTTACGAACGATCGTTCCTATGGCAGCTATATGATATAGTAGTCCGATGTTGATAGGATTTTGCAAATATATGAGGAACCAAGTAAAACTAATAAATGCCAAGTTTGGTAAACATATCTTGATAAACAAAAAAGTTTTCCATACAACAACTTTATTTACGACCGATCGTTCCTATGGCAGCTATATGATATAGTAGTGCGATGTTTATAGAATTTTGCTTATATGTGAGGTGCATAGTAAAACTAATAAATGCCGAGTTTGGTTAAGATATCTTGATAAACAAAAATGTTTTTCATACAAGAACCTATATAATACCCTCTGCAAGGGTATAAAAAGAAAGTACGACTATTTAATATCCTTATAGACATTGGCCTGAGCAGAGTGAAGCTTGTAAATGCTGAGTTGAGTGAAAATATCCTGGAAAATTCATTTTAAGAGTCGATCTCTTCCTATTGAGCTAGATTTGATTAGCTGGCATAGAAACAGGCAGATGCAAATCGGGAATATATATACTTTATGGGTTTCTTAGATATCTTCTATGAGACACAGGACAAAATTATATTAATTATATTATATTATTTTAAAATAATCCAAAAAGGTCTCTAAAACCAATTATCAATTACCAATTATATATAATATAAAATATACATTAAATAAAAAAACCCTTCTTTTTCTGCCTTTTTTTAGAAATGGAGACCGAGTGTGATTTGTTCAGTCTGTCCGAAAAGCAACCGTCGCATTCGAACTTTTCGATGGCGTCGGTGCCAAAGTTGTCGCAAATTGAGGTGAATATGCGTCGCCTCAGCCGGACGAATAGCCGCAAGATCTCTGTGCCCGCGGAGACGATACATGCGAGCTCCGAGCGCGACGAGAAGCCGACGACGACGACGCATATGGAGCCTGTAAAAGCGGCGGCACCCAAAACCGAATCGAGCGGCGACCAGACAAACGAATTGATCCAGTTGATGAAGCGCCTGAGCACGATAGTTGTGGTCATGGAGATGACAAAGGTGCGGATCGATATATGCGAGATGATGCTGCGCCGGGCCAACCAAAATCTGGACGTGGAGTACACAACGATTCAGCTGGCGCGCATGAAGATCAAGTCGAGCCACGCGGACGAGGTGCTGCGCGGCAACATACGCACCGTCATCAATGTGACGAACAATGCGGAGCTCTGCAACTGGGTTATGGAGCTGAATGATTTCTCGGTCTGCTATCGGCTGGGCGCCAAAGCCGAGATGATTGTGGCGCCAGTGAGGACAACAATCACGCTGGCGCTGTCCCACAAGCTAGTCGAGCAGGCGACGCCAGCGCAGGAATCCAACTCGAACAGCAGAAAGGATTCATTTATCGAGGAATCCAAAATTGAGGGCCAGTCCGGCGCCAAGAAAGTCGAGTGGCAGGAGGAGCACGAGCAGGACGAATCACCGAGCATCTACTCGATCAATGTGCACGTGGACATGTCAGCCATAAACATCTTTGGACGTCATGTAGGTCTCCGATTCTGTCCAGATCTTCCGACTGTAACCAGCTTTTCATTTTGCAGCTAAAACTTCTGCATGATCACTGCGAAATCGTTCACGCGGTTTATAGTTCGCTTCTCGCGCTGAGCGGAGGTTCCTGCAAACCGAATCGAGTTGAGCGCAAGTCCAGCCTGGAGATTTACACGGGCAGCGCACAGAATTATGCCGTGCTCAAGGAGTTCCTCGAACTGGATGCCAACTTTAAGCCGCCTGCAAATAGTCCGGGTTAGTCTTAGGATTATCTATGAACTGGCAGATAATCAAATAAATTTCGTTTCTTTTAGATCCCAAAGCGGCGGCCTCCTTGATCTTCTTTTGTCAGTGGACTATTCCGCGCATTTCCCTGGAAGTGGTGGGATTTTGTGATCGAAAGCATCGCAAGCTGTTGCTCAGCTTTGAGGATCTGCTGCTGAATGTGGACAGGCATGAGGACTTTACCAAGATCACCACCAAAGTGGAGAACTTCACGCTCAACTATTACGAGGCAATTGTGCTCGATGAGTGGCGTCTCATGGACGACTTTCACATCAAAATGCTCGGCGACAATACGAATTTGCCGCTAATCAACATCGTCGTTACGACTGTCAGCCTGCAGGATCTGCACTCGAAAATTGGTGCTCGCAATCTGCTCGACAAACGTCGCACAATCTCCGAGCTGATCATCGAGGTGCAGCCGATTGAGATGATCTTGCATGTGGATCGCATTAGCGAGTTTCTGATATCCCAATGCGAGCTGTTCGAAATAATGCGCAGCGGTGCACCCAAAGAGGTTGCAATAACCCAACCGGAACCGGTTAAGGATAGCATTACGACGGTGCAGGATCTGCCCATGGTGCATCTGAACAGCAAGGGCATATTTATCTATCTGCCCGTCGAGTCGGAGAAGAGCTGCTGCAGCGTGCTGCTGCTGCGGGTGAGTTTCTCTGAGAATTCCCTAAGAAATCATTCCTCATTAATTTCCCTACCTCCCACAGATCGAAAGCATTAAGCTGACGCCGAGCGTGGAGAATCCGCTGGTGCGTCAGCCCATACGCCCGGATGTATACAACAAGGCGGCGGAGCTGAATATGCTGAGCACGCCGGGCGCCCGCGTCGAGGATCGCCAGTACGAGCTGAGCGTGCGCAAGATTTCGCTCTCCTCGGGCAACTGGCTGCAGACGCAAAAGTATCGCCTGGAGGCGACTCTAACGAATAAGCACAGTAATCCCGCTTTGGAGTGGAACAAACAGACGCGTTCCACCGAGCTTGAGCACATGGACATATTCAAGGACTTTGATTTTATAACCGTCTACGCGCCGGCCATTAGCTACGATCGGTTTTTGGTGTGCGGCGAAAGCGTCGAGTTCAATTGCGTGACGGACTTTGTGGCCACATTAAATACGCATCAGATTCACCTGATCTCCTGCATCATAAATCGCGTGCAGCGATTGCGAGGGTAACTTACCCTTCCTCCACTTAAAACAAATAGTAATCTAATCTTTATATTTCTTAGCATCCTGGGCCAGAGCTGCTCGGAGTCGTGCCCCAAACCGAGGCCACCTTCGATTGTCGGCAGCCTGCATGCCGTCTCCCCGGCGGATACGCAACTCTTTCAGAGCATTTGGTCGCAAACGTATAAAAGTAAACTTAATAAGGGCTGGGCAAAGGCGCCCGCCTATGCCAGCTTTGTGGATGCGCACAGCAGCGAGACGCTGCTCGTGTCCTGCCAGAGCGACTCGGGCATAAATATACCCAAAAATGAGATTGGCGTCCAGGTGCCGCGAAACCATACGCTCGACGCGCAAAGGTTGCCAAAGCAAAGGCTGAGCTATCCGCGCAGCGTCTCCTTTGTCGCCGGCCAATTTGCGCTCAAAATCTACGACGTGCTCGAGGAGGAGGAGGAGAAGGAGGAGGATCAGCTGAAGCTGCGACCGCTGCTGCTGGTGACCGTATCGCAGCCGAGCTTCATGTCCACGCAAACGCCGCGTGCCGTCGTCACACAAGCTTCCGTCTTCGACTTTAACATACACCTGGCCCGGTCGGACAAGGAGCGCGACTACATGAGCTTTGAGGAGGCGCTCAACGGGCAGTTTAGCGAGCCCGTCTTCGACACACAGCCCGGCACGCTCGGCAGCTCCGGCATTCCGCCGCCGCTCTTCAACCTCAAGACACAAATCGAACGCGGCGTGGACGTGGACGTGGAGCTGCGCAAACCGATGCAGCTGCGCCTCTGCGAGAGCAGCGTCAAGCTCCTCGCCAGCGATCTCATACGCATCTACTCCCTGCTCAGCCTCACTCCCTACTTCTCGCAGCGCAGCGAACGGCCTGTGGTGCACACGACTCGCATGCGCCAGCTGAAGCTGCAGTGCTTCAATGCGGATCGGCTGCATTTGGTCTGCGATCGCGTCACCGTCAAGTTCTACGACGAGGCGCAGAGCTTCAGCTGCAGCGCCGTCTGTCTGGACTTCAGTGCCAATCTCAAGTTCACGGATCGGCCGCAAAAGGCGTCCATTAAGTCGACGCTGGGCTCCTTTTATGTGCAGACCGGCGACAAGATCTTGCTGCATCCGCTGCTGATACGCCTCTCCGCCGACTTGCTAAGCGAATCCTGGTGCGATCAGCTCCTGACCAGCATCAACCTCAAGCTCAATGTGCTGCACATCGATGCGAGCATCCAAAACATTTTACAGCTGAGCCAGGCACGCGACGGATTGGATAACATTAAGGCGCATGCCAGCGAGGAGTGGCAGCAATTTCTGCAGCAGCGTCCATCGTTGGGCCAGGCGCCGGCAAATCCGCCAAAGGAACTTCATAAGTACACGCCCTCCCAGGCGGAGATTGTGCGCTCCAAGTCGTCGCCGAAAACCAAGATTGAGTTCTACCAGGACGACCTGCGGTCCGTTTGTGAATCGTATTTATTTTCTCAACTCATATTTAAATATTTTTATTTCCCATTCCAGCGCGGGCGCCTTTCAGTTTGTGTATCTGAACACGGACGCCATGCTGCCGATGCCCTACCAGGTGCAGATCATCAAGAAGAACTATGGCATCATTTGCTGGCGCTATCCGCAGCCGCGCCAAATGAGCCGCATACACATCTATCCCGTGCCCATGCCCGTAAGTTCTCCAAGTGATGCCCAACTCTCCGCTAAATCTTGATCTCTTTTTGCCGTGCAGGTGGAGAATCCCATCCACATAAAATGCCGCATGGAGTACTTTAGCGAGACGCATGAAACATTCCTGCACTATTGCGATTTTGAGCTCTCGGAGATCGCGAGCAAGCAATTGACGCCGCCGGATCGGAACATCAGCGCAATTATTTGGCGCGTCGTCATAATGCAGTCGCTCATCTCCGTGAACGGCGCCTGCTTCGATTCCGAGGAGGATGAGGAAACGGTGAGCGAGTGAAGAGAGTCATCTATGCCTCGTCACCTTATCAATTCCCTTTCCAGCTCGAGAGCAGCCGCTTGGAGCCGGACCACAACGATTTCATCTTGCATCCGAAGGTTTTGGTCGGCTGCATGCGCATCGATAGCACCTTCCAGCCGGAGCTGGTGCCGAAGCTCCAGCTGCTGCTCTGCTGTCAGAATATTGAGATTAACTTCTTGAATCAGCCGGATGTGTCGAGTGTGCTGCCGCCGCCGCTGCAGAAATATTATTTGCGGCGCACCACGAAAATCACGCAGACATTTCTCACGCTGCACGTCGACGATTTGCGGACGTATGCGTCCGTCTATACGGCGACTAATTACAGCGTTGAGACGGACTTTCGCAGTCGCATCAAGTGTTTGGACTATGGCTGCCTCAATATGCTGGACCTCATGGAGCCCGTGGCCTTTCATAGTTATTTGAGATTTAATAGCGCGCAGAGCTTGCTGCAGGCCAACTTTTTGCTGGACAAGCTGCGATTTAATTGCGGTCCCTGCGTGATACACACGCTGCTCTGCTCCAAGCAGCACTGGCAGGAGCTGCTGCAGCAGCGCGACGACGATGTCGTCGTTCACACTTTGATGCCCCGGTGCGTCATTGTCAATCGCATGCAGACGTCCTTTGTCTTCGGCCAGACTGGGACGAGCGAACGGATCAGTTTGGCAGCCCAGGAGCTGCGTCCCTACTACTTCTGCAGCGACGCGCACGGCCAGGAGCTGACGTTCCACATCGAAGATGCGGAAACGCAGCAGCTGGAGGTTAGCGAATCGGTGCCCATCCCACTCAAGTTCGAGGAGGAGCACCAAGTGCGCCATGTGCGCATCGGTCAGCGTTGCCTCATCACCATCAAGCTGAGCAAGCTGTCCGCCACCCAGGTGTACATTCTGGTCAAGGGCCAGATCGAGCTGGTCAGCATGGTGCCGTACGAGTTGCTCATCGAGTTTCGAAATGAGCCCAAGCCACAGGATGAACAAGCTTCAAATGCTTTGGCACATTTGCTGCCCGCCAAGGGACGCATTTCTTTCTACCAGGATGTCGAGCGAAATGCCGAAATCAGCATGAGGTGAGCTGGAAATGTGTTAGCAGATCCCAGGAACTGTCGCCAAGCGAGTCAAGTTCTTCTTGCTCCCATAGGGAGAAGGACTTGCCTCTTTGTGAACCTTTTCCAAGAGAGTAAAACTCCTGAGTCAAGAAATTCTTCCTCCCATTGGGAGAAGGAGTTTCCTCTTTGAGAGGCTTTCCTCTTTGTGAACCTTCTCCGAGAGAGTAAGACTCCTGGTTCAAGAAATTCTTGCTCCCATTGGGAGAAGGACTTTCCTCTTTGAGAGACTTTCCTCCTTGAGAGACTTTCCTCCTTGAGAGACTTTCCTCTTTGAGAGACTTTCCTCCTTGAGAGACTTTCCTCCTTGAGAGACTTTCCTCCTTGAGAGACTTTCCTCCTTGAGAGACTTTCCTCCTCGAGAGACTTTCCTCCTTGAGAGACTTTCATCCTTGAGAGACTTTCCTCCTTGAGAGACTTTCCTCCTTGAGAGACTTTCCTCCTTGAGAGACTTTCCTCCTTGAGAGACTTTCCTCCTTGAGAGACTTTCCTCTTTGAGAGAGTTTGCTCCTTGAGAGACTTTCCTCCTTGAGAGACTTTCCTCCTTGAGGGCAGACTTTCCTCCTTGAGAGACTTTCCTCCTTGAGTGACTTTCCTCCTTGAGAGACTTTCCTCCTTGAGAGACTTTCCTCCTTGAGAGACCTTCCTCCTTGAGAGACTTTCCTTTTTGAGAGACTTTCCTCCTTGAAAGACTTTCCTCCTTGAGAGACTTTCCTCCTTGTGAACCTTCCCCTTTTAGATTATTATAATTATTATTCTTGCATACATTTTCTAATCGATGCCCATTTATTTTGCAGGCTCAAGCTGAGCTCGAGTCAGGGCAAAGGACGCACTGGCGACATTCCGCTCAAGTCGAACAATAGTCTCCCCTGGCTAGTGAAGGTGCCGACCCAGTTGCCGCAGCAGTTCATCAGCTTTTGGGTGCGCACTGTGCGCGAGGATATTGCGCTGGGATCTGTCGAGGATTTGCAGTTGCAACGAATACTCGTCAGCATTTGGCCGATATTCGAGATTTGCAATTTGCTCAGCTGCGAGCTGCCGGCAACGGAGACCAGCACCGAGGAGCAGTTCATTATCGCCGCAGAGGGCGGCCGTCAATCCCTGAGCACGGCCACAACGCACGCCACGGAGCACTGCGTCAAGTTCGATTTTCCGTACGTAAATCCCTTTGCTCTATTTTCTGATATTCCTTCTAATCCATCTCTTCCTTCCCTTTCAGCTGCTCGCTCGGCTCCGCCTCGGCAAGCGAATACACATTTAAGCTGAGCTCCATCGACTGGCAGAAGTTCTTCCATTACGAGCCCGCGGATTGGCCTATTGAGCGCACCTTGGATCAGCTGGACAAGACGCTCCGGCCCAAATGGCCGCTCAACGATGCCGCGGAGCTGCGCTTGCAGCGTCCCCATCAGCTGCTCGCCCAGCTGGATGTGCAGTATCGTGCGCGAGCGACTCGCGAGTTCTCGTGCACACTCGGCCTGGAAATTGCCGCCTGGGGCATGTTCATCAATGACACGCAACTGGATGTGAGCATCTGCGCATCTAACGCTCGCCATCTGATCCGGGCCAGCTGCCTGGCAATGCTGCCCGTGCTGGGCAGCCACTTTACCATCGATGCGGCAATTGGCTCCAGCTGGACACCCTCGCTGCCCATTTGCCTGGAAAGTCAGCAGCAGCAGACAATGGGTCGTCATTTGCTTCTGCGCGCCAATTCGTTTGTGGATATAGTTTTGGTGCGCAATGCGCATGTGCTGCGTCTGCTGCTCGAGTTCAAGCTGGAGGATGGCCATCGCATCTTCAAGCTGCGCTCCAAGTTTGTCATCGCCAACTTTTCGGACGTCAACCTGTCCGCCCTGCCCCTCACCATGGATCACAAGGAGAGCTCGTCTCGGTCGGAGGTTAATTCGCTCGATTTTGTTGGCAGCATGCGAAAGCTGGAATCCGAGCAAGCGTGAGTGCATCCATAAAACTTGCTTATCCGGCATTAATTTACTTCCCCCTTTTTGCAGCCACATTGGCGTCTCCGTGGAGCTGTTCCACGACCTGAACGCGCACAAGTCCAGGCACACCTGCGACACGGCCTTCGTCTACTTTATGTGCTTTGTTGTCGCCGGCAAGGAGGACATTTCCATACCCATACCGCTGACGTTGCCCTTCACGCGCCGCTGCTTCAATCTGCAAGACGGCGCCGATTCCATACCCTTGATGATCAGCCTGATCGAGAAGGACAATGTGCATTATTTGAATGTGTTTAGGGACACGTCGCCGGCGCTAATCATCAGCAACAATACGAATGTCAAATTGATTGTGGCCCAGACGAGCGCCTCGGGCAACAGCAATGTGACCTGCACCTCGCCCGAGTTCACGGGCAAGCACTTCGAGTGGAATCAATTAATTGCGCCATATAGCAAATGTTACTATACGCCGCCCCAGCTATATGCCAACTTTCCCGACGTCGAGTTCACAATGTGCAACCTCTCCCTGGCCGTCCACAGCGGTGAGTCTCTCTCTCTTCCAAAAGTGATTTTGATTAAGCGATTGTTTCTCCTTGGCAGACCTGGTCGAGTGCGGCAGGAGCAGGATCAGCTGGTCGAAGCCCATACGCACGGACAAGTCGTGGCAGAAGTTCATACATGTGCCCAATTATGGCGACATCAAGATCGTGATCTGTGACAAGCATCGCGCGATACGCTTCAACATCTACTACACAGTTGCCCAGCAGCTGGAGTTCTCCGTTAAGGATCTGCGCTCGCGCCTCAAGCAGCCGCAATTTGTCGATGAGCAGCCGGCGCCAGTGGAAATGGCAAAGTCTGGCTGCGAGCCGGAGCATAGAGCTGCGGACTGCATCCACTTTAGCCAGGAGTGCGAGGCACATCTGACAATCGCCGTGCGCTTCTGCATCAAGAGCTTCGTGCTCAGCCTGCACACAAACGATCGGGATCGGGACAATCTCAAGACCGAGGTGTGCAACATCTACGCAGACGATGTGATGTTGGCCTACGATGATGGAGAGGATGGGCAGCGTGTGCTGCAGCTGCAGCTGCCCAATCTGCAGGTGGACAACCAGCTGTACTCCAATGGGAAATACGATTTTCCGGTTCTGTTGTGCGCACAGCAGCTGTACAAGCGCGACACCTGCCTGCCCAAGGTGTACGATCTGGATGAGGTCTACCGCAACCAGGCCCTGGGCTCCATTTCGCTGCTGACCTTTGTGCTTTACGAGGATGAGCTGCAGCTGCAGGCGGTGCGCTGCCAGCTGCAGCCGCTGCGCGTCTACATTGAGGACGCGTATCTCAACCAGCTGCTGGACACGCTGGTCGAGTGTGCGCCCTCCAACTGTGTCTATACGCCGCGCCTGGACAGCAAACGCATCTCGCTGGACCCGGGCCAGATCTGGCTACCGGAGCAGGTTGTCGCCCAGGCGCGCTGCATCGCCGAGCCGCTGCGTCTGAACAGCTTCGTTGTGGAGCCGCTCGGCCTGCTGCTCTCGGTGCACACATCCTCGCGTCTGTATATCGCGCTGGATCATTCGCCGCTCTCCTTCTCCCGCTACGAGCGCGAACAGATTTTGACCGTGCCGCTGCGCTTCGGGCAATCCCTGGGACTGCACTATCTGAGCGGTGCCATCTTTGGCGCCGGCTGGGTCGTCGGCTCGTTGGAAATCCTGGGCAGTCCCAGTGGACTTGCTCGCTCTTTTACCACCGGCATGCGTGACTTTATATCGATGCCCGTCCAGGGCCTGTTTCGCGGCCCGTGGGGCTTCCTGGTGGGCATCACGCAAGGCTCCGCCTCGCTGTTGCGCAATGTCACCGCCGGCACGGTCAACTCGGTGACCAAGCTGGCCGGCTCCGTAGCCCGCAATATTGACCGACTCACGCTGGACGCGGAGCACATTGAGCTGACGGAGGCGCGACGTCGCGCTCGTCCGCAGGGCTTCGCGGATGGGTTGACCCTCGGCCTGACTGGACTGGGGATTAGCCTACTGGGCGCGGTCGGCGGTTTGGCGCATCATACGCTCGAGGCGCGCAGCTCCGTGGGCGTCCTCACGGGCCTCACCAAGGGCATTGTTGGTGCCATAACCAAGCCGATTAGTGGAGCGGCCGAAATGCTGTCGCTCACGGGACAGGGCGTCCTGCATACGGTCGGATTTAATACCATGCCGCAGCAGGTGGAGCCGAGCGTGACGCGGAATGTGGCGCTGCATGCCAGCTCCTATCGCATCTGGCGTTTCCTGCCGCAGCAGCTGAGCAGCGATCAGATTCTCTTCTTCCAGGAGATTACACTGCAGCTGCAGCACGCGGGACAACTTCAGCCGGCTCTGCTATATCTGACCACCTCGGTGCTGGTCATTATGGAGCTCAAGTGCGACGATCTGAAGTTCATATCGCCCATGCTCAAGGTGGAGCTGCTCGCGGATCGCGACGATCCCGCCAAGCTCTACCTGAGCCTCAAGCCCGAGCAGGCCGACGACACGGAGGGCGTAAGTCTAATCTAATCTCTTGACTGATTGGCAGCTCATCAAATCTCTTCCTTGCAGCAGATGAAGTACACCAACGAGCGCATCATTAGCTTCCTGAATGCATCCCGCGTCCATGGCCCGACCAGCGATTCGCTCAGCGATCTGCTGCAGCTGCACGACCACGATCAGGACCAGGACCGGGACCGGGACCAGGACGAGCACGCTCGCCGCCAGACGCAGTGCATCTTTTACATTCGACCCAACCTGGGCGAGCATTTAATACACTACCTGAAGGTCATGAGCTCCCGCTGAGCCGAAGTGGACGATCCCCTGTACAGAATGTATTTTGTTAACTAGATGCATATTTGTACATAATATTTATTCTAATATAGTCTACGTGCATCCGTGTTTCCTGCCTAGCATTCCCCCAAGTATTTCTCACTCTGACTCTTTGTACACTTTCAACTTTATACCAAAAAAAAAAACACAAGACACTTTGCAACCTATTTTTTTGTTACCTTTTTTTGACTAATTGCCCTTTTTTTACAATAAAAAACTTAATTTCTAAATGTAATTCTATTTGTGAGATCGTCCTTGAGCCTGGTTTTGATAGAACCTTGTTCCGTCACATATTTTTTTAATATTAAAGAACTATTTTTGTGTATTTTTTTGGTGCTGAAATATTTCTTTAAGCAAATTCCTATTTATATTGAATTTAGTCTACAAATAACTGAATAGCAAAAATAATTGCAAATTTATTTTAATTAAAGTTAATATTATTTTCATTTATTTTAATTTGAGATAAATGAATTTATTTACCAGCTCAATCAATTTGTCGATGGATCGTCCTTGAGCCTGGCTTTGGTTCGAACATATTTTTTATAATATTTCTTTTTCGCAAATTTTTATATTGATTTTATAAATTCAGGGACGAATTTATAATCTCAAGCACATTCAAAAGTTTACAAAACAAAAATAATTGCAAGTTTATATTATTTAAAGTTAATATTAATTTCATTTATTCTTACTTTGATTGAACCTTATTCCGTTACATATTTTTTTTAATATTAAAGAACTCTTTCTGCTCAAGAAATATTTCTTTTGGCAAAAAATTCTTAAATATTTATATTGCATTTATAGATACAAGGACTAAATTTCCTCGTTCCTTTCTAATATTAAAGAACGCTCTTCGTTTATTTTTTTTGGAGAAGAATTATTTCTTTAAGCAAATTTCCTATTTATATTGCATTTATAAATACAAGTACGAAACTTTCTTCCTGAAAAGTAAAAATCATTGCAAGTTTATTTGTTTTAAAGTTAATATTAATTTCATTTATTTGTACTTTGATTGAACCTTGTTCCTAAACATATTTTGAATATTAAAGAACTCTTTCTGGTGAAGAAATACTTCTTTAAGCAAATTCGTATTTATATTGCATTTATAAATACAAGGACTAAACTCCTTCGTTCTACTGGTAAATTCAAGCTTTTAGAAATGACAGATTTTTTAAAAATTTTTTTTGATTGTTTTTCAATTTTCCTGTTCTTATGGGAATAAGTTAAATTAAACTTAAATGAATATTTACAATACAACTTATTCTTTTAACAGTATAACAAAAAAATCTACAAAGATAGGGTGAATATAAAAATTGGATAATATAAATGCCAAAAATTAAATAAATAATATAATAATTAATAATAATTAACTGACTAACTAAAATAATTGCAAGTTTCAAAAGCATTATGTCTCATTGAATTACAATTAAATTTTCTTACTGATGTCAGATTTAACTTGTGCCAGTTTATCGTTATGCTTCCATGTCGAATCGTGAGATATTGAAAAGTTTAGAGCCGGATGCCCTATGTTTGGAATTTCCGCTCACGTGCGGCAAGGACAACGCTGTCCGCCGTGGTAAATTGAGCTCAATTTAATCAAATTGATTTTGCAGCTAAGACCAGAGCAACAAAACAAGCGCACAAATACCTGCAATCCGTGGCCACAGAAATGGCCAGGACACGGACGTAGTAGATGCCCGGATGCAAGTGCACGGCGAGGCGGCAGCCAAGAACTTCACTAAGGAGAGCCCGGCGCAACAACCAAGCAAGAAAACTCTTACTTAGCCGCAAGTAGTCGACTAGGAGATACCGTAAGACAATATACAATTGAGAACGAAGACGAAATCAGCAACAAGGCGCTCTCACAGCCGAAAGATCGAAAATGCTTATAATTAAATGTACTCTCTCAGCTTTGCCTCTATCAAATACAATATAAACTATAAGAAAAGTAACGCCATACCATACAATTGAGAACGAGAGCGGAATCATTATCATTGCGCTCTCACAGCCGAAAGAGCGAAAATGATAATTAGAATAGAATTTACTCTCTCAGCTTCAAAGACAATATAAACAGTAAGAAGAGTAACGGCATACCACAAAATGCAAGTATGCAGCTTGATATATTGAAAATCAGTATAAATTCGCTCTCACAGCCGAAAGAGCGAAAATGATATTTTACTCTCTCAGCTTTAAAGACAATATAAACAGTAAGAAGAGTAACGGCAAACAACAAAATGTTACTATGCAGCTTGATTTTTTGTAAATTGCGAACGAAAACGATATCAGTATCATTGCGCTCTCACAGCCGAAAGAGAGGAAACGCTTCAAAGTAGAATTTACTCTCTCAGCTTCGGCTCTATGAGTGCAAGCAATTATGTTTGTATGTGTGTTCATATATGTACATACATAACGGCATATTTGAATGTGTTGTTATTCATTGTTTGAAAACGATATCAGTATCATTGCGCTCTCACAGCCGAAAGAGAGAGAATCCTTAAATTAGAATTTACTCTCAGCTTCGGCTCTCTGAGGGTCGCGCGAGCAATTATGTTTGCATGTGTGTGAATATACATGCATAACGGCATATTTGAATGTGCTCTTATTTTGCTGTCAAAGAAATAAATTTCGTTACTTTTTCTAGCGCTGACCACGATCTATCGCAAATTTGTATGTACATATACATAAGTAGTATGAATGCTGAGGTAGAAAATCTGTATTTAGAAGTCGATGTAAATAATTATATAATTTCTTCCCTCAGATTCCCCTAAGCCTTTAAAAGTCTACCAAAACGAACGCTTTCACACAGATGAAGAAGTAGTTGTCGCTCACGATTGAAAGTCATTGTGTACAGGGTATAACAAAATAACAACAAAAGCAGCAAAACCATAAAATTTACTTGGCGCCAACCGCCGCAGCAAATTGCTTCGCATTTTTTCGCTTAAAATATAATTTGCTTGGTGGTTGCACTCGCTGCATAACCAAAAGGATTCAATTATATTATGGCCACCACCTGCCCAAAACCACACACTCTGACCCCGCGTGTGTGCGTGTGTGTGTGTGCGTGTGTTTTGTGGGCATCTGCTGTATACATGCGGGCACATCATTCATATTGAAAAGTCTGCAATAAGCTGGCCTATTTAATATACTATATAAATAAACTTTGCCTACAAAGTCCTTATAAGGACATTAGATATATATGTATTCCTGTGGCCATCAATTGTTCTTAAAGATATGCGCACTTTACGGCTTGTTTTGGCTTTCGCAGCAAAGTTTTGCCTTTGTCTTCCGGTTCCGCCTCAGCAAATGCGCGTGTGTGTGCGTGTGCGTGTGTGTGTGCGTGCGTGTGTATTGTGCACTTGCGCTGCGCTTAAAAGTAGGCAACGAATTGTGTCAGGCACAGACGGTTTCCTTTGCCTTTGACTGCGCTGAGGGCATGCGGTGAGTGGGTGGAGCTGCTCTTACCTTCAAATGCAGAACTACACAAACGGAGAGATCCGTTGAGCGTGGAAGCTTTATGCATTAATGTATCTATTGAGGCATTTTAAGGGCTACGCTTTAATCTATATCTTTCCCCAAAATGTGTTTATTTCTCTGAATACATTCCATGACTTTGATTATTTATGATTATTATCTATATTTGATATATAAACTTTAAATTTATACCTTCTTTTAATGAGTTCTTGAGTGTTCTTTTCTCCAAGTTCGCTCTGCGATAGTTATCGATAGCCTGACTATCGATAATTCCTTATTATTAGTAATCAACATGTGTCTTATATATCTATCTTATACAACTCTCCATTTGCCTGTTCACAATCTATCTTATACTACTCTTCATATGTCTTTTGACAATCTATCTTATACAAATCGCCATCTCTCTTTTAACAATCTATCTTATACTACTCTATATCTGTTTTTTGACAATCTATCTTATAAAACTCTCCATCTGTCTTTTGGCAATCTATCTTATACTACTCTCCATCTGTCTTTTGACAATTTATCTTATACACCTCTCCATCTTTCTTTTGCCAATCTATTTTATACTACTCTCCGTCTATTTTTTGACAATATATCTTATACTACTCTCCATCTGTCTTTTGACAATCTAACCTCTACTCTTCGTCTGTCTTTTGACAATCTATCTTATACTACTCTCCATATGTCTTTTGACAATCTACCTTATACTACTCTCCATATGTCTTTTGACAATCTATCTTATAAAACTCTCCATCTCTCTTTTGGCAATCTATCTTATACTACTCTCCATCTGTCTTTTGAAAATTTATCTTATACTACTCTATATCTTTCTTTTGCCAATCTATCTTATACTACTCTCCGTCTATTTTTTGACAATCTATCTTATACTACTCTCCATCTGTCTTTTGACAATCTATCTTATACTACTCACCTAATATCTCTCAAAAAGCATTTTCTTTTGTGGCGGCGCAGATATTCTGTGCTTAGTAATACATTTTGTCCGATCGAATTTTTAAAACTTTTCATTAAAGTATATATTTATGCATATGTGTTCAAATGATTTTGTTAAATTATACGCAAAGCCGCAAACTTGAAGGATTTTCAATTGAATAAACAACTTTAACCAATTAACTCATGCTCTGCAATTACAATAATTATTGCACAAGCTGATTTTCGAAATGTTCGATTTATGAGGTCAACTAATGCATCTGTAACTGCAAATGAAAATCACTTCGAGCACAAATTATAAACTTTATTATGCATTTAGTGTGCTTCCAGGCGAATGAGTTGCATAAACATAATTACCTCCGAGCTGTCAATCAATTATTAATGAGCTGCTTAACTGCTGTGACAGGCAGGATATACTCTACATGGGCTTTAGAATCGCAGGGCATGCCCAAGGATAGGAAAAATTGCCAAATGTTTGCTCGGCATAAGTGCATGATTTTTCCTTATATTTATTTAAATTTATACAAAAATGAGATAAACGGGCTATATGCGGCGCGCTGAAGATTTAATACTCTCATAGACTCTAAGAAGCAGAGGGAATAAAGTTAATGCTACAAAATCGTTTTAGACCGATCGTTCCTATGACAGCTATATGATAAAGTGGTCCGATATAGATAAGATTTTCCCTTAATGTAGGGAGCATAGGAAAACTTATTAATGCCGAGTTTGGTCGAGATATCTTAAAAAACAAAAAACTTTTTCATACAAGAGCCTACTTTTCGACCGATCGTTCCTATGGCAGCTATATGATATAGTTGTCCGATGTAAACAAGATTTTGTCCAAATGTAGGGAGCATAGTGAAACTTATAAATGCCGAGTTTCGTCAAGATATCTAGAAAAACAAAAAACTTTTTCATACAACAACTTAATTTTCCACCGATCATTCCTATGGCAGCTATATGATATAGTAGTCCGATGTTTATAGGATTTTGCAAATATTTGAGGAGCATAGTAAAACTAATAAATGCCGAGTATGGTCAAGATATTTTGATAAACAAAAAAGTTTTTCATACAAGAACCTACTTTTCAACCGATCGTTCCTATGGCAGCTATATGATATAGTGGTCCGATCCAGCCGGTTCCGACATATGTAGTGGGTGCAACAGATTGAGGAACTTCTGCAAAGTTTCATGACGATAGCGTTTAAACTGAGAGAAGGACGGATGGACATGGCTATATTGACTCGGCTGTTGATACTGATAAAGAATATATATACTTTATGGGCTCGGAGATGTCTCCTTCTATGCGTTACACATGTCGGGACAAAATTATAATACCCTCTGCAAGGGTATAAATATACATATATATTTTTGCAAGTGTGTTTGTATTAAGGGGTGGAAATAGAGCACATGCTGGCGTGGAGTGGAAATTCATGAGGGGGCCAACGCAGCATTTGGGCACATTGTGCACATCTATGCAAATATTAGTGGCGCAGGCCTCGAGCGATTTAAAAGGCGCCCAACGCGAGATTTCCTGGAAGGCAGCCTGGGCACAGATGCTAAATTACTTTGACACACACCCACACACACCCCTAAACACACATACACACACACACACACCCCTACACACACATACACACGCGCACATAAAGCAAATAAAGGCAAATGCAATTTTCTCAAAAATTGTAACTTATGAAAAATTGATACGGCAACAACACAAAATACGGCTCCAAGGTACGTAAATAAATGTATGTATGTGTGCATGTATGTTTGCATGTATGCATGTATGTATGCATGTATGTATGCATGTATCTTTGCATGTATGCATGTATGCTTTGTGTGTATGTATGTATCGATGCATGTATCTTTGGATGTATGTATGAATGTATGTATGCATGTATGCATGTATGTATGCATGTATGTATGAATGTTTGTATGCATGTTTGTATGCATTTATGTATGCATGTATGTATGCATGTATCGATGCATGTATCTTTGCATGTATGTATGAATGTATGTATGCATGCATGTATGTATGCACTTATGTATGCATGTATGTATCCATGAATGTATTTATTCCTGTATGTATACATATATGTGTGCTTGTATGTATGCATGTATGTGTCCATGAATGAGTGGATGTACGTATGTATGCATGTATGTATGCATGTATGTATACATTTATGTATGCATGTATGTATGCATGTATGTGTGCATGAATGCGTGGATGTACGCATGTATGTATGCATGTATCTACGCATGTATGTTATGTATGTAAGCATGTATGTATGCATGTCTGTTTGCATGTATGTACATACATAAGCGCGTGCTGTCAGACTTTGTCTTGGCATATGTATGCAACCGTGCCTGCCGCACTTCACGTCCAACATGGACGCCGCAGGGCAATCGGATTATATCTATTTACATACGATTTTTTTCCATCTCTTCATCTTGCCCCGAAGCGCAGTTAATGGACAGGGATTTTATCAATCTGTTGCTCCGGATCCGGTTGTTGTTGTGTGTGAGTTTCAGATCTTTGTGTGCAAGTTTTTCCCCCATATGAATATTTAATGCTGGAAACGCTTTAGATTTTGAGTAAGACGCTTTATTCACAATTCACAGAGGCAGAGACATACTTAAATATATACATAAATACATTTATATATTTACACGATAATCTTTCACAAATCAACAAGAATATTTATTCTCAGTATGCCGCAGATAAAATACTCTAACCTATCAAATTTCCAATATATTTCTCGACTAGACACAAAATTGAAATTTTAACTGACTTTCGTAATTAGATTATACCATATTATATAGTTTTTTCGACATGGTTTTTCTGCTTGGTTAATATAATATGAAAACTTTGTTTTTATCTATATTTTCTTAAATATATAATTCATTTACCTAGACGTAGTTCGTCAGATCGAACAGCATAGGAATATATTTGTCTGCAGTTGTTACACATCTCGTGCGAAAATCGTTATACCCTATAGAAGGGTATGCATATTATATTTTCAATTCGTATAGATAAACATTTACTTAAACTTATATACAAGGGGTACGGGGGAAAAGTCTTCATATGCTTGAAATCGAAATCGAATTCGAATTCGATAGATGACTTTTTAGCATGCATACATACATATAGTTACATACATCATATATTTGTCGCATGCATACATACATATATATAGTTACATACATCATATATCATTTACACACATAGATAATCAAAATTGTAACTAGACTTAGGTAATTTTAATATTCTTTATTTAATTTGCATTTTATGTAGCCGCAATGAATATTCGTAAGAGGATATGAAAAGTCAGCGAGTCCGAGGAGAAGTGCAAGTCTCTAGAAATTATTTTTCCAAATTTTCCAAATTCGCCAAGCAAAGTTTTTAAGTAGGAGAACAATTTGCTTTTAAGGCAAAATTTTCTTCAATACGAACAACGTTTATTTTATGACGATTTTTTTAAAAATTGGAAAAACATTTTCTTTAGCTGAGATTCGAATCAACTTGAAGCTGAGATTCGAATCAACTCGAAGCTGAGACTCGATTTAACTCGAAGCTGAGATTTAAATCAACTCGAAGTAAAGATTCGAATCAACTCGAAGCTGAGACTCGAATCAACTTAAAGTTAAGAATTGAATCAACTTGAAGCTGAGACTCGAATCAAATTGCAGCTGAGACTTGAATCAACTTGAAGCTGAGATTTGAATCAACTTGAGGTTAAGACTTGAATCAACTTGAAGCTGAGACTTGTATCAACTCGAAGTAAAGATCGAATCAACTCGAAGCTGAGACTTGAATCAACTCGAAGCTGAGAATCGAATCAACTCGAAGCTGAGACTTGATTCAAGTTAAAGTTAAGACTTGAATCAACTTGAAGCTGAGATTTGAATCAACTCAAAGCTCAGATTCGAATCAACTTAAAGTTAAGAATTGAATTAATTTGAAGCTGAGACTCAAATCAACTTGAGGTTAAGATTCGAATCAACTTGAAACTCATACGCCCTGTTGACCTTTTGAAGCTGGTTGTAGGTCTATCTATCTTTTATTTTTGCTTAGGCTAAATTCGAGAGATAACGAGATGAAGAAGAAGAGACCTACAGCCAGGTCCTATCATCAGCTGCAGATGTGTTGATGCCGCGTCGATAGTCGTTGTTGGAGCTGCAGACCAGCTGCATCTGGAGGAGCTCCACGGAACTATCCCCGTCTGCTGTGGCTGTGACTGTGGCTGCGGCCTGGGCGGGCTGTCAGGAGAGCAGCTGCGTGGTGCGGCATTCCGTGACCGTTGAGCTGAGGGAACTGCTCGACTTGTCGCCGGTGCAGCGTTGCTGCATTTCCTGCTGGTACGACGATCTCTGGCCACGCTGCACGGACATCGAATGGCGACCCTCGTTGCGCAGCACACCTGAAACGGAGGAGGAGGAGAAATGAAATGAAAAACCCGTTGCCAGGCGATGGCCAGGACATCTTACCACAGTGCGAAACGCGCTGCGATTTGGGCGAGCTGGGGCACGCGTAGAGCATGGACTTTTGCGTGTCTGCAAGGCGGAACAATTTATGTGTTAAAAGTGCAAGGATTAGGGATTACCATGCCGTACCATTCCGTTTGATGCGATTGTGATCCGGCGAGCCGGAGCAGGAGTAGCGCGAGGTTAGATTCTCGCGACGGTTCAACGATTCGGCTCCGACATGCACAAAGGGACACCAGCGGAAAACCATTTTGAAGCCATAGCGGAAACTGCAAATGGAAAATGGAAAATTTAAAATGGGAAAAGGCAAATATGAGAATTTAAATCTGCAAAAGTCAACTTGTTCGACAAGCCAACTAACTGAAGGCTCATTAAAATAGGCACGTTGAATTTATTAAGCAATGAAATTGACCGACCGCCTTTCTATTCGATTCTCATTTTAATTAGAAGCACATGGTAAATCTGTATTTCATGCAACTCGGTTATGTCAGCTGTCTGACAGTTTGTCCTTTCCTAATCCTTTCGTTTTTCATAAATTTTCAGTTGCCTTTTCCTCTTGTGTTGCTCTGCATTTGTTCTCGATACCCTGTACACATTGCAGATGGACAGCAGCGGGCATATCCGACCAGGACAACAGTCGACCTCAGAGACTGTAAGCTGTTCAAAATAACGCCAATCAATATGTAGATATATATAACAAGGAAGCTTGGATTCTGCGAAAAGTGTGAAACACGTCTCAAATGATTTTTCTTATAGATCTTTGGAAACGAATTTGAGCGCGAAACGTCATCCACCAAATCTTTCCACCAAGGAGGAACGGATTTTCCAAAAAGTGTAAAACAACCAACAAATAATTTGAACAAATTATTTTTGAAATTGAGTTTAAGGCCAATCGGATGGTAAACAAAAAAGTTACATACAAACGTTTTTTGCGATTTTTCCACACATGCGGGTGGAATTTCCCCCGGAACTCCGTTTTAACGTGCACCTACATCACATAAGGTAACTACTTTTAAATTCACTTCCATCTCTGTTTTGCTAATCTCTACTTTTACAGCTCGGTTAAATCATTTAGCCGATCTTGATAATGGATTGGAATCAAATATTTTTAGTCCTATTATTTTTCAGTCATTATTTTTGAAAGTGAATCAATTCTCTTGTTCCGTGATACCCCGCAAGAGGTTTTAACATTTTTTACCAAAAATATTGCCATTACATTTTTTACATTTCGTATCACATATTCGCATTACAGGGCATCAGTTAGTCGGCTACTCTTGAGTTTCCGTATAATTTTTGTCAACTGTTTTTTGATTGTCAATCAATTTTAGACACTCGAAAAACTAAGTTTGCCTACCAAAAATATTACCCTTACATTTTTTACATTTAAAACATATCGAGAAAAGAAACCTTTATTTTCACTCGTATCGAATAGTCGCATTACAGGGCATCAGCTAGTCGACTACTCTCGGGTTAAGCACCCTTATTTGTTTTCTACAAACTATGCAAGCATTCCTCCCACCCCTGACAAGAGCCAAAGAATCTTTGGCATATGAATGATTGGGTAGCTAACCAAGCCCTGAAACACGTCAAACAGCTTGATTTATGTTTCAGTATTTCAGTTCGTACGGGTCTTTATTTCGTATTCGTATGGATCGACGCCGGAACGGAACGACAACCCGTTAACGGCACCTGCAATAATAATAAAAAAAAAACACCTTCATAGCCTCCATCATTTACATAAGGGCGTTGCCCACCGAGCAAAGACTCCGGACGGGGTCGGGATGGGGAGGGGATGGAGACTTGGCTGTAGTTTCACGTGTCGGATTGTTGTACATGCACGTAGTACCCCCCCCTTTCTCCCCTCTCACCCCTCTCGCCCCATTGGCATGTTGACTGGGCGAAATTAATTGCAATCAGTTACGCTTCCCCTTGGCGGATGTGGCCCACGGACGCGACAACATCAACAGTCAATTTGTGCAAACGTAACGAACATAGTTCACTGTACATATATGTATATATGTCTTGATATATGTATAAGTATGTGTATGCGATACATGCGAGGGAGCACGATGGAGCGAGGCTGGTTTCATATATAAAAGTTTGTCCAACAGGTGAAGACCTCGAGCTTGGAAACCCTCGCAAGATATGATGAACTCTTGAGCACATTTACGACCACCAAAACATACTCGAAACAAACTTGAAACAAACTCGAAAAAGTTTCAGTTGCATACAATTTTCTTTTAAGTTGGGTTCGGTTATGGTTAAGTGAGGTTAGGTTAGGTGAAGTTAGGTTAGGTTAGGTTATGGTGAGGTTTGGTTTGTCATATAAAGGAATTCGTCCGAAATATATGCTGTATACTTATAATTAAAAATATTTTAACAATTTATTTTATTAAAATTATGGTTAGGTTTGGTTCTGTCATATATTCGTCCGATAAATACAACTTGCATGTAATTAAAAATATTTTCAGAATTTATTTTTATTTATTTATTTTAGGTTAGGTTATGGTTGGGTTATGCAAATAATTAAAAACATTGTGAGAATTTATTTTTTAAAATTAATTTAATGTTAGGTTATGTTTAGGTTTGGTAAGGTTGAGTTAGGTTAGGTTATGGTGAGGTTGGGTTATGGTTAGGTTAATATATAACCATGCGCCCGTTAAAAATATTTTCAGAATTTATCTATATTTATTTATTTTAGGTTAGGTTAGGTTAGGTTAAGTGAGGTTAAGTTAGGCTAAGTTAGGTTAAGTTAGAATAAGTTAGGTTCGGTTAGGTTCGATTCTTTCATATCTACCCATTCGTCCGATACAGCATGCATATAATTAAAATACATTTTAAGCATTTGGTATGAGCCGCCCTCGCATATGCTTGTGGGAAAGTAAATGCTAATGTCAATGGCGCGCATGATATTGATGTTAATCGCGACATTGATAATGATGATGATGGACGGCTTCATTTCCGGATAACAAGCTAAACGACCAGCTGACTAAGTGATGTACCCGGGAGCCAGCTGCGAGCACTGCGTCAAAGGAACGACCCTCAGCGCAAATTACATAATTTGTTGCGGTCGCGAGGGGCGAGGGGGCGTGGCGAGGGGGCGTGGCGAGGGGGCGTGTGTTAGAACTTATGGAGTAGCACTCACCGGGAATTCATCCAGCAGTATATAATCGGATTGTACATGGAATTGCTCATGGCCAGCCAGTAGATAACCAAATATAGCTCCTGAATGAACGGCGCCTCGGTAATAGCCGGATAACAGGATGTTACGATGAAGTACGTGTGGAAGGGCAGCCAGCAGAAGCCGAATATCAGAACGACCACAATCATCATCTTGACCACCTAAGCGGAAAATTGGCAAGTCAAAATAAATGAAATGTTTAACAACAAGCAAATGATGCGTTGATGAGGAGGATGAAAACTTAGCATACTTTTTGGGGCAAAGTTCAAATTAATGCTGATGCAAGTTATTAAGACCCTCGACTCACCCTTCGCTTGCTCCGCACATTGGAAAATGGGAATTCAAAATATGAAATATATTCGCATAAAAACAGTAATCTTTATGTTTGACAATAAGCAAATGATGCGTTGATGGGAAGGATGAAAACGTAGCATACTTTTTGGGGCAAAATGCAGAGGATGGGGATGAAAACTTAGCATACTTTTTGGGGCAACATTCAAATTAATACTGATGCAAGTTATTAAGACCGTAATTCAAAATATGAAATATATTCTCATAAAAATTTAATATCTAATGTTTGACAATAAGCAAATGATGCGTTGATGAGAAGGATGAAAACTTAGCATACTTTTTGGGGCAAAGTTCAAATTAATGCTGATGCAAGTTATTAAGACCCTCGACTCACCCTTCGCTTGCTCCGCACATTGGAAAATCGTAATTCAAAATATGAAATATATTCGCATAAGAAAAGTAATCTTAATGTTTGATAATAAGCAAATGATGCAATGATTGGGAGGATGAAAACTTAGCATACTTTCTGGGGCAAATTTTAGAGAATGAAAACTTAGCATACTTTTTGGGGCAACATTCAAATTAATACTAATGAGAATTCAAAATATGAAATATATTCGCATACAAATTTAATATCTAATGTTTGACAATAACCAAATGATGCGATGATGGGAAGGATGAAAACTTAGCATATTTTTTGGGGCTAAATTCAAATTAATACTAATGCAAGTTATTAGGAACGTGGAACTCACCCTCCGCTTGCTGCGCACATTCTCCGTCTGCCTGGTCGTGTACTCGCCAATTGTCTTGGAGCCCCACAGTTCGATGCCCACGCGCGAATAGGTGACCGTCATCGAAATAATGGGCAGAAAGTAGGTGAGCACAAGGATGAGAATATTGTAGCTAGATGGAAGAAGGAGAAACACATTATACCACCATTAATAGAAAATAATAGAAAATAATCATTCACAAGCTAATCGAGGATTATTTTTTACTGTTCTTTTAGTAATTTATTTTAACATACTTCAAGTATGTTCAATATATTGAAGCTCCACTTACAATCATTTACAATGGATCAACCTTTCTAATGACTACAGGGTTCCTGAGAATTCATTATTCATTATTGGAACAACATTTTTATTAACCATTTTTTATTATTATTACTATTATTATTATTATTATTATTATTACAATTATTTTTATGTATCACACTCTACTGATGAGGAGCTTAATTAATTTATTATATCAATATACTAGTATAAAAGTATATATGACTTCTAATCATAAGGTCTATAAACTAATGGTATTGCTAATTTTTTGTTAATTATTTTTATGTATCACAATCTACTAATGAGTAGCTTTATTAATTGATTATATCAATATACTAGTATAAAAGTATATATGACTGCCAATTATAAGGTCTATAAATTAATAGTATTGTTAATTTTTTCAATTCTTACACAGATGATGCATGGAAATACATCTAGTTGAGGCTAATAAGACATTATTATCATATTGTTTCTTCGCACAAGCAAAGTGCCTCCAGTTCGCATCGTTATGTACCAACTAGTTGGGATCTAGATTTAATGGTCTCGCGTGCCCGAAAGCATTGAGGCGGGCAGTTACTTTTTGATTGCCCATATTTGCTTTTAAATTTGTCATGCCAAGCGGCTGTTAAGAGCTGCATATGACTTTTATGCGGACAGCCCCTGGACAATTGTTGATGTACTGCCGCTTCTATAAGGTGCTAAAAGGGTATGATGAACTCAGAAATAACTTGGGCCGATTCTATTAAACCTGTATCGATCAAATCTCGTGGCTTAACGGAGCTTAATACACATACTTGAGAATATAGGTTCTCGGATAGTATACACTGATGCAGATAATCAACTTTTCCGCTCATTCCTCTCGCAATTGAGAAAACTCACGCTTCAAGGTATTACATTACTTTACATTTTACTTTACATTACTTTACATTACCTTACATTACTTTACATTACTTTTCATTATTTTACATTACTTTACATTAGTTTTCATTACTTTACATTACATTACTTTGCATTACTTTACATTACTTTGCATTACTTTACATTACATTACTTTACATGACTTTACATTACTCGACAATACTCTACATTAGTTTACATTACCTTACATTACTTTATATTACTCTACATTACTTTACATTACCCTACATTACTTTAAATTACTTTGCATTACCCTACATTACTTAACATTTACACTTCTGAATGCTACATTTAAGCCTTCAAGTTCTTATAAGGATCGTAATATAAACTCTGAAGTTAATCAAGAAGGCATTTCCCATACTCAGCCGAATGAAGAGGGAGGTATCTGTTTTATTTGTAAGCGCAGTATCTGCTAGTCGGATACTCCCGACTAGAGTTCTCTTACTCGTTTTTATGTGTTTGGTTTAGTGACTGGTTTTATGACATAGATGCATTCCAACCCGAGTCCGAGCTCCCCATGATAATCTGATAGCACAGATTGTCTCTGTCTCTGCATACGCATCGCAGATTTCCTGATTTATAGCACGTTTACTTCAGCTTTTTTCCCGCTGACTGCACACACACACACACACACACATAGACATTGACTTTTCCCACTTACATGTGCTCCTGCTTGGAGTGATTCGTCTGTCCGTCGGGCCACTCGGGAAAGCAGACGATGCGTGTTTTGTTCTCCATGGTCACCGGCACCTTTGAGCATTGAAATAAAGTGTTCGCATATATATTAAAGGGGGGGTTTATTTTCGAAAAGAATAGGGGCAAAGAGTACCTCCTCGGTCTTGAAGAAGAGCAGCATGGGGCAGGAGATGAGCGTCGAGGAGAGCCAGATGACTGCGGCAATGGCCAAATTGCGTCGCTTGCTCATCCGCGGCTGCAACGGCTTCATAATTGCCACGTACCTGCAAAAGGTCAAAGGATACGCCCTCCATTATTATTAATGCTATCAAAGTGGCACCCGACCACGCCAAAAGCCGATTATTTTCATACGCCCAACATTTATGGACATGCCAACAAATTGCCATTGCCAGAAGCTTCCCAAAGTTGGTGAGGTTAGAGCCAGCACGATGGTTCGAATCTCGAAATTTGGGCCTCTAGCTTATAAATATGTCCTATACTAATATTTATTAATATAATAAAATGAAATATATAGTAAGAATAATGGAGTATCTAGGTGAGGTTTGAGCCAGCACGATGGTTCCAATCTCGAAACTTAGGCCTTTAGCTTGTACATATGTCCTATACTAATATTTATTAATATATTTAAATGAAATATATAGTAAACAAATATCTAGGTGAGGTTTGAGCCAGCACACTGGTTCGAATCTCGAAACTTGGGTCTCTTGCTTATAACCCTATATTTTACTAATATTAATAAATATAATTAGCGAAAAAATATAGTAAAAAAATAGAGTATCTAGAAATCGCACTCATGTTTTCGGAACACATTTTGCGGCTCGCGTAAAATCAAATTAAGTCTGCAAATGATGGCTCGAATCTCGCAACTGGGGCCTCTGCTTATAACAATACCCTATACTAATATTAAATAATATTAAATCGAAAATATTGTACAAATAATAGAGTATCTGAAAGTCGCATTCGACTCACGGCCTCTCACGTTGCCAACTCTTGTTTTTCGAACACATTTTTGTGACTCGCCAAAAATTAAATTAAGTCTGCAAATTTTAGCCTGAGCCTGATAAAAGCCTAGTTAACTAAAATTTTGATTGCCAGCATTTTGATCTATTTAAGTTTTGTTTAATTTTGTGGCTAGAAAATTAGTTTATCTCCAGCCATTATAATTATTGAGGCCTCAATTGAACGAAAAATAGAAATGCATTTTATAAATTTTGCATATATATTTTGATGGATTGACGGTTGCTCCTGTCAAAATTGATGAGCTGCTCGTAATATTTGAAGTTTCGATTTTAGTAAATCCCAGTTGGATTGGCCTTAAATGAGCCTCTCGTTAATGGGGATGAATGATGGCCTCGCTCTACATCCTACATGGTCGTTAACCCTTGAGTTTGACATATCGAGAGACAGGCACATACATAAGATTAAATTGAGCAGCTTTTTCTTCTTTTCACGATTGATAAGGGTACCAAATCCCGCTGCCCACCCATAACTTGGCAAGCGGGCCACGCACATTTGCAATTTGTTGAATATGTTGCGATGTATGTAACGATGTATGTTTGTACATCGTGATGAAGTGTGGGGCATTAGCTCACTTACCTGTCGATTGATATGGCCATCAGAGTGAACACCGACGCACAGATACTCAGCATGGCAATAAACTGGGATACCTTGCAGTAGAGCTCGCCGAATATCCAGTCGCTGTCCAGCATATAGTAATAGTTGAAGGTTACGTTCAGACTCGAGACCATCGCATCGGCTATGGAGAGGTTCACTGGAAGAGTACACAAAAAGTGCGTTTATCAGTGAAAGTCCTCCAAAAATAAAAGCAAACACAACACGCGGCAAAGCAAACAAATGAAAATCCAAATAGCAAATATAGAAGTGACAAAAAATGTATCCCAAGCCAAACAAGAGAAATATGAGTTATCTTCGGTAAGCCGAAGACTAAATACTCTTCCAAAAAAATTCGCTATAGTAGCTCAATGTTGACTTTATGATAGAGTTAAGCGATGCGTTTGGCCAACTGCCTAATATATATTAGACTTATACAATATTATTAACGTGAATGTTATTTTTATTAGTTATTTATTTAATGTGGAGGAAATGCCTTCTGCGTCACACTGCTGTCAAATTGTGATATATGGGACTGATAATAATAATAATAACAATAATAATAATAATAATAATAATAATAATAATAATAATAATAATAATAATAATAATAACAATAATAACAATAATAATAATAATAATAATAATAATAATAATAATAATAATAATAATAATAATAATAATAATAATAATAATAATAATAATAATAATAATAATAATATTAATAATAATAATAATAATAATAATAATAATAATAATAATAATAATAATATTAATAATAATAATAGTAATAATAATACTAACATTAATGATAACAAAAACAGGTTTAATAATAATACCAATACTAATAGATACAATAATAAAAATAAAATTATTAATAATAATAATAATAATAATAATAATAATAATAATAATAATAATAATAATAATAATAATAGCAATACTAATAATAATAACAATAATAATAATAATAATAATAATAATAAAAATAACAATAATAATTAAACAATAATATTATATCAATAATAATAACAACTCTAATGAAAATAATATATGCTATATATCATTGCAGCTGTCGTCCACAAATCTCAAAATAATTCATGCAACAATTTCAATACTCTCCGCAGAAGGGCATAAAAAGGTAAGCAAAAAGGCAACAGTCCGTACTTATTTTGGTCATATGTACATATTTTAGTATATTTATAATTAGTGAAAAAGCCATCGCTATCGAATCTGGATGGGACTTGGACTGGGACTTGGACTGGGACTTGGCTGCGCATAATTAAATGGAAGCTGCAAATGGAAAGGCGGCCATTTGTCTGTCTGCCTGTCGGTCTGTCGTTCTGTCTGTCTGTGTGTTGTGGCCATCATTTATTACTTGGCACATTTGTTATTGTATTTCGGTTTGTCAGTGTGTAACGATTTACATGCCAATGAATCACCAAAAACAATGCGGTCGACAACAGGGGCAACGCCCCTCCCCCCCTCCCCACCCTCGACCCACGCAAACAAAAAGACAAAAATTATTATGGGATGCCTTTTGCCATTGTTTACTTTTCATTATCTATGTAGATAAGCAGTGCCAGAAATAAGCATAAAAAGCAACACTCGCAACAACGCCCTCAGTGACAACAACAACAACATCAACAACAACAACAACAACTACAAAAACAACAACAATAATGACAGTAGTAAGTATCTGTCTGTCGAGTGCAACCGACTGCCAAATACTCGCACATAGTACAATACACAGCTTAAAATATATATACATTTTTCCGGTTTGCCACTTGCTATTACGAGTCGAAAATGGTACAAAATTCCCAAATCGAACACTATTTGGCTGAGATATACCAAAAAATCATCAAGAAAGGTTGACTTTACAAACGAATCGGTTTTTGGTCAACCACTTTTTTTAACCCATCGATTTTTTAAATGTTTGAATGCAGATTGATAGTAGGGATCCCTACGAATTCAAAAACGTATAACATTTCAAAATCGGACAGCATTTACCCGAGATATTCAATAAAAATCATCAAAAAAGTTTCGATTTTCGAACCGACTCCGAATTTGATAAAAAACGTGATGTAACCCCTTGCCATTTTGATGATTTTGGTCAAAAATTAGATTTTTATTTTTTTGATGCCAATCGATAGTACTGATCCTTACGAGTCGAAAATGGTATAAAATTCCCAAATCGAACACTATTTGGCCGAGATATTCAAAAAAATCATCAAAAAAGGTTGACTTTACAAACGAATCGGTTTTTGGTCAACCACTTTTTTTAACCCATCGATTTTTAAAATGTTTGAATGCAGATTGATAGTAGGGATCCCTACGAATTCAAAAAGGTATAACATTTCAAAATCGGACAGCATTTACCCGAGATATTCAATAAAAATCATCAAAAAAGTTTCGATTTTCGAACCGACTCCGAATTTGAGAAAAAACGTGATGTAACCCCTTGCCATTTTGATGATTTTGGTCAAAAATTAGATTTTTATTTTTTTGATGCCAATCAATAGTACTGATCCTTACGAGTCGAAAATGGTATAAAATTCCCAAATCGAACACTATTTGGCCGAGATATTCAAAAAAATCATCAAAAAAGGTTGACTTTACAAACGAATCGGTTTTTGGTCAACCACTTTTTTTAACCCATCGATTTTTAAAATGTTTGAATGCAGATTGATAGTAGGGATCCCTACGAATTCAAAAACGTATAACGTTTCAAAATCGGACAGCATTTACCCGAGATATTCAATAAAAATCATCAAAAAAGTTTCGATTTTCGAACCGACTCCGAATTTGAGAAAAAACGTGATGTAACCCCTTGCCATTTTGATGATTTTGGTCAAAAATTAGATTTTTATTTTTTTGATGCCAATCAATAGTACTGATCCTTACGAGTCGAAAATGGTATAAAATTCCCAATTCGAACACTATTTGGCCGAGATATTAAAAAAAATCATCAAAAAAGGTTGACTTTACAAACGAATCGGTTTTTGGTCAACCACTTTTTTTAACCCATCGATTTTTAAAATGTTTGAATGCAGATTGATAGTAGGGATCCCTACGAATTCAAAAACGTATAACATTTCAAAATCGGACAGCATTTACCCGAGATATTCAATAAAAATCATCAAAAAAGTTTCGATTTTCGAACCGACTCCGAATTTGAGAAAAAACGTGATGTAACCCCTTGCCATTTTGATGATTTTGGTCAAAAATTAGATTTTTATTTTTTTGATGCCAATCGATAGTACTGATCCTTACGAGTCGAAAATGGTATAAAATTCCCAAATCGAACACTATTTGGCCGAGATATTCAAAAAAATCATCAAAAAAGGTTGACTTTACAAACGAATCGGTTTTTGGTCAACCACTTTTTTTAACCCATCGATTTTTAAAATGTTTGAATGCAGATTGATAGTAGGGATCCCTACGAATTCAAAAAGGTATAACATTTCAAAATCGGACAGCATTTACCCGAGATATTCAATAAAAATCATCAAAAAAGTTTCGATTTTCGAACCGACTCCGAATTTGAGAAAAAACGTGATGTAACCCCTTGCCATTTTGATGATTTTGGTCAAAAATTAGATTTTTATTTTTTTGATGCCAATCGATAGTACTGATCCTTACGAGTCGAAAATGGTATAAAATTCCCAAATCGAACACTATTTGGCCGAGATATTCAAAAAAATCATCAAAAAAGGTTGACTTTACAAACGAATCGGTTTTTGGTCAACCACTTTTTTTAACCCATCGATTTTTAAAATGTTTGAATGCAGATTGATAGTAGGGATCCCTACGAATTCAAAAAGGTATAACATTTCAAAATCGGACAGCATTTACCCGAGATATTCAATAAAAATCATCAAAAAAGTTTCGATTTTCGAACCGACTCCGAATTTGAGAAAAAACGTGATGTAACCCCTTGCCATTTTGATGATTTTGGTCAAAAATTAGATTTTTATTTTTTTGATGCCAATCGATAGTACTGATCCTTACGAGTCGAAAATGGTATAAAATTCCCAAATCGAACACTATTTGGCCGAGATATTCAAAAAAATCATCAAAAAAGGTTGACTTTACAAACGAATCGGTTTTTGGTCAACCACTTTTTTTAACCCATCGATTTTTAAAATGTTTGAATGCAGATTGATAGTAGGGATCCCTACGAATTCAAAAAGGTATAACATTTCAAAATCGGACAGCATTTACCCGAGATATTCAATAAAAATCATCAAAAAAGTTTCGATTTTCGAACCGACTCCGAATTTGAGAAAAAACGTGATGTAACCCCTTGCCATTTTGATGATTTTGGTCAAAAATTAGATTTTTATTTTTTTGATGCCAATCGATAGTACTGATCCTTACGAGTCGAAAATGGTATAAAATTCCCAAATCGAACACTATTTGGCCGAGATATTCAAAAAAATCATCAAAAAAGGTTGACTTTACAAACGAATCGGTTTTTGGTCAACCACTTTTTTTAACCCATCGATTTTTAAAATGTTTGAATGCAGATTGATAGTAGGGATCCCTACGAATTCAAAAAGGTATAACATTTCAAAATCGGACAGCATTTACCCGAGATATTCAATAAAAATCATCAAAAAAGTTTCGATTTTCGAACCGACTCCGAATTTGAGAAAAAACGTGATGTAACCCCTTGCCATTTTGATGATTTTGGTCAAAAATTAGATTTTTATTTTTTTGATGCCAATCAATAGTACTGATCCTTACGAGTCGAAAATGGTATAAAATTCCCAAATCGAACACTATTTGGCCGAGATATTAAAAAAAATCATCAAAAAAGGTTGACTTTACAAACGAATCGGTTTTTGGTCAACCACTTTTTTTAACCCATCGATTTTTAAAATGTTTGAATGCAGATTGATAGTAGGGATCCCTACGAATTCAAAAACGTATAACATTTCAAAATCGGACAGCATTTACCCGAGATATTCAATAAAAATCATCAAAAAAGTTTCGATTTTCGAACCGACTCCGAATTTGAGAAAAAACGTGATGTAACCCCTTGCCATTTTGATGATTTTGGTCAAAAATTAGATTTTTATTTTTTTGATGCCAATCAATAGTACTGATCCTTACGAGTCGAAAATGGTATAAAATTCCCAAATCGAACACTATTTG